TGTTAGGAGGAAAGGAACATCGAAATATGAAAATCAGAATTATTCAAGTGATGAATTTCAGATTTTTTTTTTCATTCCTGAACGTATTAAATTCAGTACGATTATACAAAAGGCGTTCCCTTTAATCTACAACTTGATGTCAGCAGCACAAAATCGTTCTCGCTCCAGGGTGATATCCAGTGTCTCTGCTGACTTAAGTACCTCTATATATGATGCGGCATTAGCACCGATTCCAGGACAGTGGTGTTATCTCGGGGCTTAGTCAGGAGCAGCTGCTGCTGGCAGCGGGGAGCACCATGTGCTCCATGTTAACAGCAACAAAACCATTACCAGAAAAGAAGTTATTGTACAGGCCAAACCACAAATTACATTCAAGGCCTTAATCCACGGATTATACCCCATCCCTCTTAACTCCTAGCAAGCATGTTGTAACATATCTATCTACCCTTCAATAATGAAAACCAACAATGTATATCTGGGCAACAATAAGTACATGCAACACTGGCCCGTATTGTATCCCTTCACAAATAATGCGAGCACAGAAAAATACTTGGTGATTCTACCAATAATCCTGCAAGGTCCTGACATCCTGTTTGAGCTGACAACACGGGGGGGTTATTTACTAAAACCGGAGAGTGCAGAATCTGGTGCAGCTCTGCACAGTAACCAATCAGATTCCAGGTTTTATTGCTAAAGCTTAACTGACAAGCTGAAGTCAGAAGCTGATTGGCGACCATGCAGAGCTGCACCAGATTCTGAGTGCTCCAGTTTAAGGCCCCTTTCACACGGGCGTTCCGTTTTTTTTTTTCATCAGTTCAGTCATGTTTTTTTCAAGCAAAAACAGATCAGTTTACATCTGTTTTTCATCAGTTTACATCCATTTTTTCATTAGTTTACATTCATTTTTTCATCAGTTTACATCTGTTTTTCATCAGTTTACATCTGTTTTTTTCATACGTTTACATTAGTTTTTAGATCATTGTACATCAATTTTTTATACATTTTTCATCCGTTTACATACGTTTTTCATCAGTTTACATCCGTTTTTTTCATCAGTTTTTTTCATCCGTTTACATTCGTTTTTCATCAGTTTGCATCAGTTTTTTCCATACGTTTTTCATACGTTTACATTTGTTTTTCATCAGTTTACATCCATTTTTCATCAGTTTACATCCTTTTTTTATACATTTTTTGTCCCTTTACATTCGTTTGTCATCAGTTTACATCAGTTTTTTCATCCGTTTATATTCATTTTTTCATCAGTTTACATCCATTTTTCATCAGTTTACATCCGTTTTTTTATACGTTTTTCATCCCTTTACATTCTTTTTTATCAGTTGACATCAGTTTTTTTCATACGTTTTTCATCCGTTTACATTAGTTTTTTATCATTCTACATCAGTTTTTTTTTCATACGTTTTTCATATGTTTACATCCGTTTTTCATCAGTTTACATACGTTTTTCATCAGTTTACATACGTTTTTTTCATCCGTTTACATTCGTTTTTCATCAGTTTGCATCAGTTTTTTCCATACGTTTTTCATACATTAACATTTGTTTTTCATCAGTTTACATCCATTTTTCATCAGTTTACATCCTTTTTTTATACATTTTTCATCCCTTTACATTCGTTTGTCATCAGTTTACATCAGTTTTTATATCTGTTTACATTCGTTTTTCATCAGTTTACATCCATTTTTCATCAGTTTACATCCATTTTTTATATGTTTTTCATCCCTTTACATTCTTTTTTTATCAGTTTACATCAGTTTTTTATCATTTTACATCAGTTTTTTTTTTACATACGTTTTTTTTCATACGTTTAAATCCATTTTTCATTAGTTTACATACGTTTTTATCAGTTTACATAAGCTTTTTTCATACGTTTTTCATACGTTTACATTTGTTTTTCATCAGTTTACATCTGTTTTTTTTATACATTTTTCATCCGTTTGCATTTGTTTTTCATCAGTTTACATCCATTTTTTATATGTTTTTCATCCCTTTACATTCTTTTTTTATCAGTTTACATCAGTTTTTTTCATACGTTTTTCATACGTTTACATTAGTTTTTTATCATTTTTACATCAGTTTTCTTCATACGTTTTTCATACGTTTAAATCCATTTTTCATTAGTTTACATACGTTTTTCATCAGTTTACATAAGCTTTTTTCATACGTTTTTCATACGTTTACATTTGTTTTTCATCAGTTTACATCTGGTTTTTTTTATACATTTTTCATCCGTTTACATTTGTTTTTCATCAATTTACATCCGTTTTCATCCGTTATGTTATGCTTTAAAATTGCACACACCTGTGCAAACGGCAACACATAGCGTACATTTTACTACCTGTAAATAAAAAAGCCTTTACATGTTACCACTTTAGATTTACACAGGAGATCTGGTGCTAGAATCACTGCCCACAATCTGACGTTCGTTTTGATACCTCACATGTGCGGGGCGATCGCTGTTTGCGCACGTGTGGGACCAACGTGTGCATTCACAGAGTGGATGGTGGCACAAAAATCTTTTCAATTATTTCTTTCCTTTTACAATGTCGCTTTAATTTTTTTTTTCACTTTTATTGTTATCACAGGGAATATAAATATCTCCTGTGATAGCATTAGGCAGTGACAGGTACTCTTTATTTATTGTATTTTTTATTTTATTTCAGGTACTTATATAGCGCCATCAATTTACACAGCACTTTACATATATTATTATACAGGATTTATATAGCGCCAACAGTTTGCTCAGCACTTTACAATATAACGGGAGACAATACAGCAACAATACAGTTCAATACAAGAGGGATAGGAGAGCCCTGATCCTGGGAGCTTACAATCTACATTGTACATTCACTTCAGTCCCTAACCCTCAAGGGGTGTACAATCTTTATAGAGAGATCTGGGGTCCATTAGACTGCAGATGTCTCCTTTGCCCTTTAAAAGTATTTGATCACCTTTATGATCGGTGTGATGAAATGTTTTCCCTATTTAAAACGTTGCTAATTACATCCGGGAAAACCGGAAGTGATGTACAAAGTGGTATTAAAACGTTTTGAGTTTTAACACACCAGCAGATGGCAGCACAAGGCTGCACACACAGTCACAGGGAGCACCAACCTTCATAAATCAGTGTGCAAAAAGACATCGTCCTGTGTACATCAGGAGCTGTGCAACTGGTGCTATTCTGACCACGTGCGTTACCACGTGTGCTATTTCATCATGGACAGCATGTTAGAACAAAGAGCAAATGTGAAATTCTGCGTGAAACTGGGAACATCTTCCACAGAGACATTTGACATTTTCATTGCTTATTTAGGTTTCCTCTGGGTGTTCTGGTTTCCTCCCACACTTCAATGACATGCTGGCAGGTTAATTAGCTCCTATCTAAATTGGCCCTATTATATATATGTATGCATGGGAGACAGGAACTTTAGATTGCTAGCGGCTAGAGGAAAGGGACTGATATGAATGTACAGTGTGTAAAGTGCTGCGTACATTGCCAGGGCTACTTAAATACCTGCAATAAATAATAAATAAATACAGACATGCCAGCAATGGCAGTGCGGCATTTCTCAGAATGAGTTCTCTGTTGGTGAATACCATCCTTATCTAGTGTGTGCTGAAATGGTCACTTGTAGTCTCCATTGGAAGCCCATATGACAATGCAGGAATACATTAGGCAAAACAGACAGCAAGTTGTCACCCTATAACAGGAAGTGCCTGAACAAGTGATGACCAGGGATTATTTTAACCCCCCTGGCGGTATTCCCGAGTGTAGCTCGGGGTAAAGTTTCAGTACCAAAAGCGGTAACCCTGAGCTACACTCGGGGTTACCATGCGGCGTTGCTCAGGGATCCCCTGCAGCACCTACCTTGTCCTTCGCTCCCACGATGTGTCCCCTGCAGCGTCCCCTGCCATCTCGTCCAGCTGATGCCAGCATCCGCTTCCGTGTTCCGGTCCCTGTAATGTCGGGCCGTACGGGGGCCGTAACCGGTGGCAAATTTGATATTTTTTAAAATTTAATTTTTTTTAAAAACGATTATTACATAGTAAAACATCGCTGTTTCAAACCATTTCACATACATTTTGTCCCGAGTGCTTTGTCCTGTGCCCTGCCTGCATTTTTACTGTTCTTTTTGCCTGGAAATTTAGAAAAGTCCATGGCGTCCAAAAAGTGTCCCTTTAGGTCAAAATCGGTTTTAGACCGGCTAGAGAACAGCGATAGTAAATCAGAACCACTTGCAGAATTGAGTGATAATGATTCGTGGGGGAAATTCGTCATCGGACACTGAAAACGATTCTGTAACTTTGCTCAGTGATGTGCGAACTTGGCGCTCTATTTCACATTTCAGTGTTTTTGGTTTGATTATATTATTGAATTAAATTTATTATTATTATATTATTTTTTTTATTGATTATTTATTAAATTATAATTTATGATTTTGTGTTTCAAATTTTATCCTACCCGGGATGTTTACTAGACTCTTGTTCGGACAGATTTCAGTGAGTTATTCCTAAAAATTACAGGCCTACAAAAAAAACCCGACATATTTCCATGCAAAAAAAATGTACCGCTTTCAGCACCAAAAATCTGAAATAATCAGACCGCCAGGGAGGTTAATGAAAATAAGAAATTAGATAAATATTACTATATAAAGCTTCTATGAGATTTGAGTGCATGAGTTTATATTTTCTCTAAAGTACCCAAAATGATCCCCAATTTATCTCCTGTACATTCGCCTGGTCCTGCGATGGGAGCTGCCATACCCATGGTACTTCTGATAATGAAGAATCCCACCATTTCGGAATGTAGCCATGTGTAATTCATGAATGGTAAGATTCTCAGCAGATTGGACAAATCTCATACATATATTCAGGAGAATGGAATGAAAGCCACGCTATGCAGATTTGCTGAGTCTCTTAGCTTTCAATTCTCTCCTTGCTATTCATTACCGTACCCATTGTCTCTATGCCAATGTGTCCTCAGGTTTGTGGATGGATATGGAAGTTTCCTACAGTGGATCTTTACAAGTGACATTAGAAACCAAGATGAATTTATCCAAGCTGGGGAAAGACTCGGTGATGGAGGAAGGTGGACTGCCCGCGAGCCGTAGAGAGGGGTAAATGATTCTTTTTCAATAAACGATACCCTTCTTCGTTCTTCCTTTTCCTTCTTATCAACATGTCGATTATATTTTTAAAAGAAGCCTTTCCATTTTTCAATACATACCATATTTTAAACCCTATGACATCACTTGATCTCTTTGCTTCTCTATACAATGGAGGTAGATCGTGGCTGGTGGGAGGGGCCAGCAGGGCACTCTACATAGTTGAAAATATCACAGCACCTTGCCTTTGTATTCCTGTCAAGATCCCTCAGCCATGATGCAAGCAGTGGGCTGGCTCTTGGGAGGAATTATGCAAATTATGCAAATATCAAAAGCCTTGATGGGTGGGTGTGCCAGTCTGGAGGACATGCAGATGACCCTAGGTAACAGGGATCCTGCGAGACTCCGAAACGTTGCCTTGCTGTAACTATGTAAACCTTCATTAAAGCTTTTTCGGACCCACATTGGAGATCCTTGGTGTGCCGGTGACATTTCTCTCCATTGGCCTCAGGTAATACTCACATGTGATGCTGAGCTTCATGATTGAAATATCTGAAAATAGAACTCCATGTCCTCTGACACTTCAAAGAGGAGCTTCATCCAAAAAGGGGAAGTTCTGCATTAAGTCCTCTTCCCTCCAACTCTACCACAGTTGGCATCAGGGGCGGACTGACCATTCAACCACTCGGGCACTGCCCGAGGGCCCGGGGTCAGTAGGGGGCCCTATGAGATGCCCCTGGTACCTTTCATTTGCTTTTTCATAGGCTTTTTTGGGTGTGGGTGATGACACAGGGCCCCATGATCCCCTATTGCCCGGGGGCCCCATGAGTTGTCAGTCCGCCCCTGGTTGGCATATCATATTTTTAGGAGTTCCAAGTGGAAGTTCACCCCCGTCTCTTCACCAGCAGCTTTCTGGGACACGTCTGGGTCCCAGAAGGCTGCTGGACCATTCACAAAGCACAACGCGGCTTGCTCATGTACAGTAGCCACAAGCTGTCACAGTCAGCTTCCTACACTACAGACTGGCGAAGAACTGGGCCAGATGAGGATGGCGCTGGATCCCTGGACAGGTGAGTGTCTATTTATTAAAAGTCAGCAGCTACAGTATCTCTAGCTGCTGACTTTTAGTTTTTTTTTTTCACCTAGAGTGAAAAACCGCTTTAAATCGTTTGTTTGGCCCACCTTGGACTTATTTTTTATACAGGAAATAATGGGATGCTGCTTAGTCTATAATATAATGTATTGATTTGTGCTACGCACATTAAGCTGAGTTCCAGCAGCAGTACCCAAGGCTTCCCTTCTACTGCCGGATATAAATATAGCCAGTTGCCGTACATATCCTCCAGTTTTTGTAGCTGCTGACTTTTTTTTTGAGCTGGAACTCCGCTTTAAAGAGTTTCTAAAGCCAAAAACAAAAATGTAATATAGTGCAACTTACCAGTTCTTAGGTTTTGGTGGCGGGGGGGGGGGAGCGGGTACCCGAATTTGACAGGTACCAGTCCCACTTCCGGTCCCGATCGCCTAAGCGATACGAAACGGAAGGTGGCCTCCCTCTCTCCCTCCCTGTAGTCTTTTGGGACACGTGACAGGTCCAGGAAGACTACAGGACCATTCATGAAGTGCAGCGCTACTCACGCATGTGCAGTGGTTGCTGTGAAGCCGGGTGCCCACACTAAAGATGCCGGCGCCTGGAGCACAGGACGGCCAGTGAAACGGGCTGCGGGGAGGACACACCGCGGGACCGAGGGACAGGTAAGTGGTGTTTGTTTTTTAAAAGTCAACAGCTACAGTTTTTGTAGCTGCTGACTTTTATTTTTTTACAGGGTGAGTGGAACTCCGCTTTAAGCTCAATCTCTCTTTGTCGTAGTCATGCATTCCTTTACAGCACAATTTCATAAGACCTTGCAGTGCATTTTTAGATCTCGCAGACACATTAAACACTGGATTGTACGAGATTTAATTTTCTGGAATTAATTAGATGGTTCTAGTAGGCTTAATTAGACCTTCTGCTCCGTATCATTTTAATTAGAACATGTGGCGAGCACAGATGTGGAGATCCAAGCAGAGTTAAAGTAACGCTGTCACGAAAATAATCAAACTACATGATTATATTCTGGATTTAAAAAATATGTTTCTAGATACATTAGGCAGCTCTTACTACATGCGCTCACTCCGGCCTGATCTGCACATCGGTGCTTAGACCTAATAGTGGACCATGCTTGTGTCATGTGTGCTGCGTGCCGTTCATATTCTCAGATATAACTACAGTTGTGCTCAAAGCTTTGCGTACCCTGGGAGAAATGGTGACATTCTGGCATCAATATTGATAATATGACTGATTACTTTTATTTATCCCCTTCACGCCTAAGGGTTAAAACAAATCCAATTGGGCAGCAGAGTGGCTAAATGGTTAGCACTTCCGCCTGGCAGTACTAGGGTCGTTGGTTCGAACCCCAACCACGGCACCACCTGCCTGGAGTTTGCATGTTCTCTCTGTGCCTGCATGGGTTTCCTTTGGGTACTCCAGTTTCCTCCCACACTCCAAAGACATGCTAGTAGGTGAATTGATTCCTGTCCAAATTGTCCCTAGTATGTGTATGTATGAATGTGAGTTAGGGACCTTAGGTTGTACACCCCTTGAGGGTTAGGGACTGATGTGAATGTACAATATATATGTAAAATATATATAAATGGATGGTGCTATATAAATACACGTAATAAATAAATAATTAAAGGGGAACTTCACTCTCTCAATCAACATGGACTATTTTTAACCCTTACGCTGCTAGCATTAGTAAATAGATAGGAAAGTAGATCATATTTACTCGTTTTAAACATTTTTTTCTTCTTCAGTTACTTGCTGGTTTTCATGCCTAGGCAAATAATGTCATACTTCCCAGCAGTTTTTAAGAAGGGAGGGAGGGTTCTCAGCTCAGCCTATGCCTGAGCTAAGGGCAGATGGATTCCAAGAAATAAATGATACATGAATCACTTGCCCTTACTTAAGATGGCCTCTTCCAGAAATGCCAGGGGTTGTTTTTCAAGATGATTTCTCAGCAAAATAAAGCATGGAGACATGGATGGATGGCTGAGTTTGCTTTTCAATATTAGAAATGAATTAAATAGCATTTTTGGTTTGTGATGCCCAGATGCAGTGCAGTTCCACTTTAAGAAGTGGAAAGCTTGGGGATCTCATGATACCAAGCCAAGGTCAGGTAGACTAAGAAAGATTGCAGCCGCAACAGCCAGAAGAATTGTTCGGGCAACAAAGAAACCCCACAGGTAACCTCAGGAGAAATACAGGCTGCTCTGGAAAAAAAGATGGGTGTGGTGTGGTTGTTTTAAAGGAGCACAATATGACGATACTAAGCTGCATGGCCGAGTTGCCAGAAAGAAGCTTTTACTGCTCCAAAAAAAGCCCAGTGAGGCATGTCAAGGTGTTGTTAACCGGGCTTTTTTGTGGCAATGGTGCAGTATCTGAACAAGGACTTCACGGCAGGATTGCAAGATTTTTAAAAGATTATTTAAAAGTTTCAGGTTTATAAAGATTGAAATGTACTTTTACTATGACAATACCATTTAAAGCTTTTACGTGATATTACTGATTTGGATAAGATTTACTTTACCTGTTATTGTTGGGTTAATTTTGTGCACGCAATATTCAGGAATCATCTAGTGGAGCTTTGCTGTTGCAGAGGGTGGGAGTGTCAGCTGCTCGGTCTTCTCTCTATCAGCTGCTGAAGTGATATAGAAATAGAGGAGATTCTGTGAACAGGCTGGCAGCAAGCTGACGGGAAACAATGCACAGAGTAAAACAATGCCTGCATCATCTGCAAAGGGATAATTAGTGCTGGATGGAGGCGTACCTCCCACGGCACAGAGCGAGAGGGGTGGAGGACGTACCTGTCACATCAGACTGCTTAATATTGCAACATGCATTGCAATGGTTTGGATAACCATGGTAAAAATAGAAGGGAAAACAAGCTTGCTAAGATCATGAGGGCACAGAGAAAGGTCTAAATTAGATGTCAACTAGCCCCCCGCCTGACCTGTGCTGTGATTTGGTACAGCACAAGTTGGTCAGCAGCTTCCAAACAATGATTTATGGCTGGGACCTGCTGATTGGCTTAGCGAATCACAGCACAGAGCCCTGTGTTTACTAACAACACAGGGCTGTGGACACAGAGCAGGAATATAGCTGTTTTTTCTTCCTGCAAAGCAGGGAGAAAAAACAGCCACATCTGTTAGTAAAAGCAGCACATTTTACACACATTGCACGTTGTTAGGCACACATTTAAAGTGTTACTAAACCCTTGACCCTGCATTCACTATATCTGGTCTCCCCGGACCCTGCATTCACTATATCTGGTCTCCCTGGACCCTGCATTCACTATATCTGGTCTCTCCGGACCCTGCATTCACTATATCTGGTCTCCCAAGACCCTGCATTCACTATATCTGGTCTCTCCGGACCCTGCATTCACTATATCTGGTCTCTCCGGACCCTGCATTCACTATATCTGGTCTCCCAGGACCCTGCATTCACTATATCTGGTCTCTCCGGACCCTGCATTCACTATATCTGGTCTCCCGGACCCTGCATTCACTATATCTGGTCTCTCCGGACCCTGCATTCACTATATCTGGTCTCCCAGGACCCTGCATTCACTATATCTGGTCTCCCCGGACCCTGGTCACTCCGGTCTCCCGGACCCTGCATTCACTATATCCGGTCTCCCCGGACCCTGCATTCACTATATCCACTCTCCCCGGACCCTGCTTTCACTATATCCACTCTCCCCGGACCCTGCATTCACTATATCCGGTCTCCCCGGACCCTGCTTCACTATATCCGGTCTCCCCCCGGACCCTGCATTCATTATATCTGGTCTCTGGACCCTGCATTCACTATATCTGGTCTCCCTGGACCCTGCATTCACTATATCTGGTCTCCCCGGACCCTGCATTCACTATATCTGGTCTCCCACAGTACACATATGGAAATGCAATTTTTTTAGGACATATAAACTGCTAAATACCTTTTGTCATCAGCAGTTACCCTAGGTTCACATCTGTGTGGAAATGCAGACCCGCGGGCGAGTGCCATTAGTTCTAATGGCAAGCCGCATGCACTGGAAAACGTAACCGTCCTGGGAACCGAGGTTCCCGTGCGGGCTGCATTTTCCAAAGAAGTACAGGGACTTCTTTCCTGCGCGTCACGGGGCATGGGAGTCCATTCAAATAAATGGGCTCTCGTGCCTGTGCAAAACACGGCCCGCACGGCCGCATAGATGTGAACCGGGGGTAAGAACAGTCTTGTGACTTCTATCTGTGTCCAGCTGAGCACTAGTTAAAGCTTGTAGGAGGAGTTTTCATTCTCCTCTGACTGTCCTATGAGGCTGCATAACCCCTGACCCTCTGTCTGGACAGTGTTGATTGGCCCTGTGCTGATCACATGACCCCCCTTCCCCCCCCCCAAAAAAAAAGAAAAACACTAAACTGACCATGTGCAGAGTAACTCCTAGGGCTCTGTACTATCAGCAGATAGATTGGGGACAGTAGAAGAATGGGAGGATCAGAGAAGACAGGATCAAACAGCCTTTTTACACAATGCAGAGGATTAACCCCTTAGGTTCCACAGTGAGTATAACAAGCATGCTTTACTACATATACAGCCTGATTTTCCTGTTGTGGGTTTAGTAACACTTTAACCTTTTCATTGCCCCTAGATGTTAACCCCTTCCCAGGCAGTGTCATTAGTACAGTGACATATCTCTGTATTAGTGTCACTATTGATGTCAGTGTCAATTAATCAGCTAATGTCCCTCCCAGCTAGTGTCAACTAGCGCCAGATTGCCCGCCACTCTATCACCGTCCCTCTACCATTACCATTATAGCGTCACAAATACCAATATATATACCAAAGTTTGTAGACGCTATAACTTTCGCACAAACCAATTAACATACAGTTTGGATTTTTTTAAACCAAAGACATGTAGCAGAATACACTTATTTAAGAAGAAATTAGATTTTTATAAATTTTTTTGTTGGATATATTTTACAACAAAAAGTAGAAAATTTAATTTTTTTATTTCAAAATGTTCGGTCTTTTTTCATTTATATAATAAAAAATAGGAAACAAAGCTGTGATCAAACACCACCAAAAGAAAGCTTGTTTGAAAAAAATGATATAAATTTCATTTGCTTACAGTGTTGCATGATCGCTCAATTGCTAGTTAAAAGGGGTGAAACCTTCCGGAGCTTAAGTGATTAAAGTTACTTACCTGTTGTTTGCTTTTGTACAATGAGCTGTGCGTGCAGCTCGGCAATGGCAAAATCTGCCCGAACTCCAGCGCATGCTCGGGAGTAATGTCATCCTCCCCGGATTGAGACCCAGAACAATGTCAGCTGCTGGGAGGGGAGCTCCAGGACACCGCATCTCTGGAGTGGAGGTGAGTATAGTTCCGCTTTAATATATTAGCAGCTCATAGTACATTGTTGTGGTGGTCAATGGGAAGAATGCCTTTTGCATTAGTGGTCAGTGTGAAGATGTTCCCTACACCGGTGGTCAATGGGAAGAATACCCCTCTGACAGATAGCTAAAAAGATCATTGGTGTCAATGGGTACTTACCTGAGAGGCAGAAATTGCTCATTGCTGAAAGAACCCCTAGCAACCTTTGGAGTTGGGTTGAGAAAGACTGTTATAGACTGTAGAAGGTCCTTATGTTGTTATATATAGAGATGGTAAAATGAACAGAGTACTGCGGTCTTCCTTCCATCCTAGTCATATGACCAGAACCCAGGGAATTGGCCATGAGATTTTTTTTGTGGAGGATCGGAGGATTGCATGGCTCTGTCTGAACCCAAGTCCTGTGAGCTTCTTTAGCATGACCTCTGATGCAGGATTTGGACATGTGACCAGGGGCGGACTGACCATTTGAGCACTCGGGCATTGCCCGAGGGCCTGGGGTCAGTAGAGGGGCCCCATGAAATGCCCTCTGGTACCTTTTATAGGCTTTTTTGGGTGTGCTTTGAGTGTGGGCAAGGACACAGGGGCCCCATGATCCCTTATTGCCCGGGGGGCCCCATGAGTTGTCAGTCCGCCCCTGCATGTGACCCACAGCTAACAGAGTCAGAAGTATGAAATAAACTTTTAATAAATAAACAGTTAAACATGCATCTTTATTCTCAGGGCAATGATGCCAAGAGCCAGGATTTTCACTGATAGTGACGAAGAGTCCTCAAGCGCTGGCTCATCAGAAGACGAAGAGATCCCAGCAGTGGAAACACAGGGAACTCCAGGAGATAGAGCTAACCCAAATAATACTGACAGGTACAGTAAATCACAATATGGCCTTTCTTTATGAGGGAATAGTTTTTATTTCAGTTCAATTGTCCCTATTCTCCAGACGATTCATTATCATACATCCCACCAGGATAATCAGTCCTAACTGAAATGGTTATGGATGTGTGAATTATATTCAGGGTGGACCATGGTTTCGGTAAACTAGGGTTGTGGCCTTTGCATTGGCTCACTTTACCAAACAGAAAGGAACGGCAACTGGATTCCAAAAAGCAAGGAGGCACAAGAAGATGTATGAAGCAGTGGTCATACTACCTACACAGTGATAGATTCTTTTAACATTCCATAGAAACAAATTGTAGCTCCAGACATGGGTGAAAAGTAGAAGTGGATGGAGAAAGTTCTCCAGGAAACATTATTATTATTATATTATACAGAATTTATATAGCGCCAACAGTGTGCTCAGCGCTTTACAATATAACGGGAGACAATATAGCAACAATACAGTTCAATACAAGAGGGTTAGGAGTGCCCTGCTGCTTGGCGCTTACGATCTAGGAGGGAGGGGCTAGTGGTACAAAAAGTAGTAACTGTAGGGGATGGACTGGTAGGAGGAGTAGAAGATTCCATTATTAGCTGAGGGCAGGATAGGCTTCCCTGAAGAGAGAGGTTTTCAGAGATCGCCTAAAAGTGAGCAGAGTAGGCGATAGTCAGATAGATTGGAGTAGAGTGTTCCAGAGGATGGGGGAAGCTCTGGAGAAGTCCTGGAGAGGAGCATGGGAGGAGGAGACAAGGGAGCTAGAGAGCAGGAGGTCGTGCGAGGAGCAGCGGAGAAGACGGTTTGGGTGATATTTGGAGACAAGATTGGTGATGTAATTTGGGCAGAGTTATAAATGGCTTTTATATGTTATTGTTAATGTTTTGAATTTTATTCGTTGGGCAATGGGAAGCCAGTAGAGAGATTGGCAGAGAGGGGTGGAGGACACTGAGTTGAGGCCAGTGGAGGGATTGGCAGAGAGGGATGGAGGACACTGAGTGGAGGCCAGTGGAGGGATTGGCAGAGAGGGGTGGAGGACACTGAGTGGAGGGATTGGCAGAGAGGGATGGAGGACACTGAGTGGAGGCCAGTGGAGGGATTGGCAAAGAGGGATGGGGGACACTGAGTGGAGGCCGGTGGAGGGATTGGCAGAGAGGCGTGGCAGATACAGAATGGTTAGTAAGGTGGATGAGTCTGGCAGCAGCATTCATGATAGACTGAAGACGGGGATAGCCTGCGATGAGGTCGGCCAATGAGGAGGGAGTTACAATAGTCAAGGTGTGATATAACAAGGGAGTGAATAAGTTGCTTAGTGGTTTCCGAGGTTAGGAACGGCGTATCTTGGAGATGTTGCGGAGGTGAAGTCTACAAGATTTGGACAGTGATTGGATTTGGGGCTGAAAGGACAGATGGGAGTCTAGGATTACACCTAGTACCCTGGCATGAGGGGAGGGACTGATGGTTGTGTTATTGAAACATGACTACTAATCTCAGAGGTCCTTCAATTTTCCTTCTGAGCTTTATAACTTCTACTGCAAAGTATTCACTATGCTTCCAGGTGGGAATGCATCATCATGTCATGTTACCCTTTGCTGTGAATCCTTGCTCCTATGTTCTGGTGAATGTAGGCAAGGTCGCAATGGGATCACAAAGAGGACACTGCTTTGACCAGAGAAAACAGCCTATTTTTTTCCCAAGCTCAGACTTTGGGTCCTTCAAAAAAAATCCTCACTATATAGGACATTGGCAGCTATAGGAACCTATCTGGCATGGCAACCAAGTTCAGAAGATGTTTCATTTAGGTTTTAAATTGGTTTTCTCTTCATAGCTGACTTTCCTTTTGCAGCTTCCCAGGTGGGAACAGTACCAGCCGCAAGATTCTTCGCTTTGTAGATAAGATCGCTAAGTCTCGATACTTCCAAAGGGCAACAGAAAATGAGTACATTAAAAGGAAGATGGAGGAAATGTCCAATACTCCTCTGCTGCTGACTGTGGAGCTCCAGGAACTGGAAGGAACCCTGGCCATCAATATCCCCCCTCCCCCCACTGACCGCATATGGTAAGGGCTCAATGTGTAACTTTGCTATTGGTCAGTTGTGACAAGTTTTCAACATTATCAAAGCTCCAGAGATGAGCATTCTAGATTATGTCAGATACAGAATTGCCTGTGATTTATCTATCGTGAGGGCCTTTTTTTAGTGGGAACATAGCAAAAAGCAGTTCCAGCACCTTCAGCACTGAATGTATGTAATGGCAAAGTGTGCTGGAAGGTCTATTGATGCTGGCTGCTAGGAGATTTGTTGTCTTTAGAGGGGATCTTTTTTTACATGGTGGTCTATTGTTGCTGTTGGGGGCCCAATAGTTGCTTGAAGCTAACTAATGTTGAGGGAGAAGTCTATTGTTGCTGGCTGCTGGAGAGTCTATTGATGCTGGCTGCTGTGAGATCTTATGTTGCTGTTGGGGGTCTATTGTTGCTGGAGGGTGTTGTGTTGGAGGTCCATTTATTGCTGGGGGAATATATTGTTTCTGGCTGCAGGGGATTTTATTTATTTTCTTGTTATTATTAACAAATTCCAAACATATTACTTAGCACCCCAAAATGATACCTGGCTGTGTATTCTCTATAAGGAGCAGTACTGGGAGGTGGGTATGGGGAACAGTGCTCAGAGATGGGCATGGGAAGGAGACAAGAAGTAAATCAGAAGGGGGGAGTTCTTTCATCTATTCTATGAGAAAAAAGCCCTGGTTATCGTGGTTGGGAACCCCAAAGCTTCAACCCATAGAAACTGTGCACTGGTGAGTCCAGTAGGCCTGGATAAGTTACATTGTATACAAGGGCAGTATCCATGATGTTGCTAGTGAAAGTTTTGTTCATAATTTGCTGAATCTCTGACTATTATGCTGATCCTCCAGTTACATTTTTTAGTGAATCATTGATAAATGACAAGTATGTTGAATGGAGCTTTTCTGCTGGCTGCCTCTCTCCAGTTTCTCTCATGTTTAAGAAAAAAAACCACAATGGGGGAGAAATGGAGGACAGGAGGACAGAGATACAAGGTATGTAGGCAAGTCATTTCTAGCGTAATTTGGGCTATGTGTTACATTTTGGAACAGATTTGATATGTGGTCAGATAGACAATAGAATCTCTATTTTCATGGTCTTAAAGTGTTACTAAACCCACAACAGTAAAATCAGTCTGTATATGCAGTAAAGCACGCTTGTTATACTTGCTGTGGAACCTAAGGGGTTAATCCTCTGCATTGTGTAAAAAGACTGTTTTATCCTGACTTCTCTGATCCTCCCCTTCTCAGTGGTGCCCCCCTCTTATCTCCTGATAAGACATATCATATGAAGACACTCTGCACATGCTCAGTTTGGTGTGTATTGCTAGAGAGGGTTTTTTTTTTCTTGAGAAAGTGTATGTGACCAACACAGGGCCAATCAGCAATGCCCAGACAGAGGTCAGGGGTTCTGCATCCTACTAGATTAGAAAGAAAACTCCTTCAACAAGCTTTAACTAGTGCTTTACTAAACACTGATAGAAGTCACAAGACTGCTCTAACTGCTGATGAGAAAAAGTATTTAGCAGTTTATATATTACTAAAATAATTGCATTTTCATGTTATGTGTACTGTGGAAGACATGATAGCGTGAATGCAGGGTCCGGAGAGATCAGATATAGTGAATGTAGGGTCTGGGGAGACTGGATATAGTGAATGTAGGGTCTGGGAAGACCAGATATAGTAAATGCAGGGTCCGGGGAGATCAGATATAGTGAATGCAGGGTCTGGGGAGACCAGATATAGTGAATGCAGGGTCTGGGGAGACCAGATATAGTGAATGCAGGGTCCTGGGAGACCAGATATAGTGAATGCAGGGTCTGGGGAGACCAGATATAGTGAATGCAGGGTCCGGGGAGACCGGATATAGTGAATGCAGGGTCCGGGGAGACCAGATATAGTGAATGCAGGGTCTGGGGAGACCAGATATAGGGAATGCAGGGTCCGGGGAGACCGGATATAGTGAATGCAGGGTCCGGGGAGACCGGATGTAGTGAATGCAGGATCCAGGGAGACCAGATATAGTGAATGCAAGGTCCGGGGAGACCAGATATAGTGAATGCAGGGTCCGGGGAGACCTGATATAGTAGTAAATGCAGGGTCCGGGGAGACCAGATATAGTGAATGCAGGGTCCGGGGAGACCAGATATAGTGAATGCAGGGTCCGGGGAGACCTGATATAGTGAATTCAGGGTCCGGGGAGACCAGATATAGTGAATGCAGGGTCCTGGGAGACTGGATATAGTGAATGCAGGGTCCGGGGAGACCATATATAGTGAATGCAGGGTCTGGGGAGACCAGATATAGTGAATGCGGGGTCCGGGGAGAGCAGATATAGTGAATGCAGGGTCCTGGGAGACTGGATATAGTGAATGCAGGGTCTGGGGAGACCAGATATAGTGAATGCAGGGTCTGGGGAGACCAGATATAGTGAATGCAGGGTCTGGGGAGACCAGATATAGTGAATGCGGGGTCCGGGGAGAGCAGATATAGTGAATGCAGGGTCCTGGGAGACTGGATATAGTGAATGCAGGGTCTGGGGAGACCAGATATAGTGAATGCGGGTCCGGGGAGAGAGCAGCATATAGTGAATGCAGGGTCTGGGGAGACCTGATATAGTGAATGCAGGGTCCAGGGATTCCGGATATAGTGAATGTAGGGTTCTGGGAGACCTGATATAGTGAATGCGGGGTCCGGGGGAGAGCAGATATAGTGAATGCAGGGTCCTGGGAGACTGGATATAGTGAATGCAGGGTCTGGGGAGACCAGATATAGTGAATGCGGGGTCCGGGAGAGCAGATATAGTGAATGCAGGGTCTGGGGAGACCTGATATAGTGAATGCAGGGTCCAGGGATTCCGGATATAGTGAATGTAGGGTTCTGGGAGACCTGATATAGTGAATGCAGGGTCCAGGGTTTAGTAACCCTTTAAGTTCTTGGTTGCAATATTTAGGCACTTGTATTGCAGTTACAATACTGTGGAGGAGGAAGTGGGGCATCCACCCACCGGGGAATCCACAGCAACCAGTCAGATTGCAGATCTCATATTTATTCCGGCTGGGTTGAATTCTGAGCGAATGTTCTTTAGAAAATCAGAACTCTTGTGCATTTTAGTTAGACCTAGTGCACTCAGTAGTCAGCACTCAGTAACAGACTTGGTCAGACACCCCCCTGCTCTTTCTCTGTAATATAATTCTGTGTGTGGACACATGATGATGGCCATTGCTTTTACCCTGCTCAGAACAATATAGTGTATCAATAGGAAGCTGCATTTTATTTAACATAAAAGGTATTGCCAAAATATAAGGCATTGCCAAGCAGATTGAACTATTTGAAAAGCCTTCAACCGGCTGAATTTAATCAGACTTGACTTTCTATCCATGTTTTCCTGCTGTGTTGATGAAAGTAGAAAGATTTGAAGTAACAATTGTCAGCATATGTTGTAGGTACAGCTTCCGATCACCGCCACAAGTGGTGGAGATGAAGGTTGTCCCAAAGCTTGGAGAGAGAGAAGTCACATTTATACATGTCACTGAGTGGATAGAGAAGAAACTGCAAGATGAGTTCCAGGTACCTGACCTCAAAAAAATGTCTGCCAACATTTCATGCACACACTTTTACATTTTGTGGCAATCCTGTAGGTAAAAGGCACATACAAAAAAACAGCTGCAACATTGTGAAAACTAAAGTTACATTTAAAAAGGGCTTTGGCTGGAGCTTCAGTCAGATGGCTAGCAGTCTAAGCCAGCTCATTACGTTCCAGATGCATCGAAACAAAAGGTGCCCAAAGTATAACAATTCGTTTTCTTTAAAAAGTAGCCACAGCCAGAGTACAAATGTCTGTCCCCTGCCAGAATTGTAGTAGTGACAACCCATGGGGCCCCCGGGCAATAGGGGATAATGGGGCCCCCTTGTCCTTCTATGAAAAAGGTACCAGGGGCATCTCATGGGGGAAGCAGCAGTGCACGAGTTTCCAAATGGTCTCCGCCCCTGATGTGAAGGATCCTTGTTCTCTGTGTAGAACACCTCTTGCAGAGAGCATGAACTTTGCTAATTGAAGAGCTCTGACTCAGCAAAGGTGTGTTGGACCCCTGAACTCCTTCCACACAGAAAGCAAGGGTCCTTCTTCTTAGCAGCTTGCTGGCAGAGGACAGGCTTTTCTGCTCAGGCTGTAGCTACTTTCCAAAGGAAACCGACTGTACTTTTGCTTTTACGCATAGAATGTACTTAGCCGATTTAAATGAAAAGTTTAGTTGACCTCTACGATTGAGCCCGTGGGGAGGGTGAAACGTGTTAGAGGGGCATGGCAGTGGCCGAACTACTAGGGTCACAAAGGTTGCACTTGCGACCAGCCCTAGTGTTACGCCTCTGTGGTTGGCCCCAAGCAGTGTTGCCAGTACAAAAGGGCACTTTTCTGCTGTCCATAAACAGCAGAAAAGTGCCTGTTAAAACTACACTTGTTCACAAACTTCCTCGCTCTGCTTCCCCCTCCTTGTGCAGCTGACCAGCGGATCGCCCGAGCCGAGCTCAGCCAATTTCTATTTAGCCGGCTCTGTAAAATATGCATGCACAGTTCCAGAGCCAGCCGATTAGTAATTGGCTGAGCTCAGCTTGGGTAGGGGGTGGTCTGCTGGTCAGGTTTGCAAGGAGGGGGCGTGGGGAGGGGGGAGAGGAAGCTCGGGAACAAGTGTGGTTTTAACGGGAACTTTTCTGATATAAAGGTCCCATCTTATACAGTGGGGCAAAACAGTATTTAGTCTTGCCTATTGCAGATTCAGTCTTCCCAGCCTGGTGCAGGTCTACAATTTTGTTTCTGGTGTCCTTCGACAGCTCTTTGGTCTTCACCATAGTGGAGTTTGGAGTGTGACTGTTTGAAGGTTGTGGACAGGTGTCTTTTATACTGATAACAAGTTCAAACAGGTACCATTGATACAGGTAATGAGTGCAGGACAGAGGAGCCTCTTAAAGAAGAAGGTACAGGCCTGTGAGAGCCAGAAATCTTGCTTGTTTGTAGGTGACCAAATACTTGTTTTCCACCATAATTTGCAAATAAATTCTTTCCAAATCAGCCAATGTGATTGTCTGGATTTTTTTTCTCATTTTGTCTCTCATAGTTGAGGTCTACCTATGATGCCAATTACAGGCCTTCTCTCATCTTTTTAAGTGGGAGAACTTGCACAATTGGTGGCTGACTAAATACTTTTTTGCCCCACTGTATCAGTGTCCTCACTCCTCTCTTACATCAGTGAACCCTTTTACCTTAGTGTGTTCTCTCTGCAAATTCTGGTGTAAAGGGGAACTGTGAAGTAAGAGCCCCCCTTACACCAGAGTTTGCAGCATTTTCCCTTATAGCAGAGTCAGCAAACTTTGCAGACTCTGAGGTAAGGAGGAACTCTGCAAACTCTGATGTAAGGGGGGTGTCTGGTGACCAGAAAACCTTTTACATCAGAGTTCCCCTTTACACAGTGCGCAACATTCCTCCTTAGATCAGAGTCCACAGAGTTCCCCTTTACATTGTGGTCTGCAGAGTTCCCCTTTACATCAGGGGTTCCTGATTACGTTATTGTCCACAGAGTTCCACCTTGCGCTGTAGGGCTAAACCTGCGGATTCTGATGTACTGTAAAGGGGATCTCTGATGTAAAGGGGGCTCTGGGAATGCTGGGAACTCTTTTGTAAGAAAGGATTCTAATGTAAAGGCAGGAAGAGGGCCCACTGGAAAAAACATGTGAAAGGGTCCCTCTGTGGGACCATAATAAAGGGCCCCACGATTGGAGTCAAAGGCCCTGGGCTTAAAGGGAAGGCCCCGGACTTGGGTCAGGGGGCCCTTCATGGTTTTTTTTTGCACCAGGGCCTGGAAGGTTCTAGCTACGCCCCTGGGCATGACACGGAAGGAGACTAGCTGAAGACGATCTTTACATTACGATACTGGGCTGACTGACAGTGAGCTTCAGTCTTTATCGTTCAGTTGAGTTTTATCGGCCTTATTACATTCTCTTAAAACAAAACAAAATTCCTTATAGCTTGCTCTGGCAAAGATAGCAATTTTCTCTATAGTTCAATGACATTTGCCCAACTAAAAATGTCTTAAAAAGTTTGCCATATTCTATTACAGTGAAAATTTCAAAGCTAGGCAGTTTTTTGAGCAATTTTGAACCCTCATTAATATTATAATAGCTTTGGATTATTGATGTGTTGCATTGTATTTCTGAAAAGTAATATACATGGTTTTTCAGCTGTCTTTTTTTTTTCCAATGGCAGAAAATCTTAGTGATGCCAAACATGGATGACTTATACTTTCCCATAATGCAGTCTGCAGTGGATAATACCGGGCCAACACAAAGTGACCCCTCCAAGCCAGGACCTCTATGAACTTTTAACAGGAGCTACGTGGTCCAGCAAACGCACAGGACTGAGATGCACAGAGAACTCTGGGGTGTCTAAGAGTCATTTAGAAGGACAAATGACGTTTAATGCACTAGGACATGGATCCATTGATGAAGAGAGTTCCCTTCAGATCACAACATTGACTACAAACCATTATGGAAGGACCATAATCCAGAGCAGGCTACGACAACGTGGCACTAGGAACCTGGGGACATATCTTGTATGGTTTTCACAATGGGATAGTTATGTAAAAATATGTAAAAAAAAGAGAGACGTAGACAGGGGCGGACTGACCATTTGGAAACTCGGGCGCTGCCCGAGGGCCCGGGGTCAGTAGGGGGCCCCATGAGATGCCCCTGGTACCTTTTTCATAGGCTTTTTTGAGTTTAGGCAAGGACACAGGGGCCCCATGATCCCCTATTCCCCGGGGCCCCATGAGTTCTCAGTCTGCCCCTGGACGTAGATGTGTTACTCATGGAATCAATCAGATTCTCATTTCTAGAGCAAGACAAGAGCAAAGTATTTTATCAGCCACTAGGAGAGACCCAGACATCTTTTCCTCTAGATTTTAGACAGGTCCAATGATAACAGACATTTAGTCTCTATTAGTGTTATCTCCACCATGGTAGCTGGGGGGATACAGAAAGTATGAAAATGGCTCTATGTATCTCTCCTTTATAAACCTAGCAGCTCAGTTTTTTTTTACTACATAATAAAGGTAGACACTTATGTGTAAAGAACAGAGATGATGGTAGCCAATCAGTGTTTAGCTTTCAGTAGGATAAAGTGGCACAGCTAAAGAAAGCTGCCATCTGATTGGTCAATATCAGTTGATGCACAGGACCACTCTACATACTGTTGTGCTTATTCAATAAAGAGGTTATAGGTAGGATAACCCAGAGCAATCAATCAGATCTCAGTTTACCGTAGTCCAATCAATAAGGTAAGGTTACTGCAGATCAGCTTTATACGTTGCTCTATCATGTTGACTTTGCCTGTATAGTTTTTGTTTATAGGGGTAAGGCTGCCTCAAGCTCAGTGTGGCCTGTAGCAACTCACTGAATCCTTTCTCTCTCATTCTTATACTACTTTGGAAGAAAATGAAAGAGGGAGTCAGATTCATTGTTCTAAGTCTAGGCAAAACTGTCTTAGATAGTCTTTACGGCACAATGGTACATTATTTATAATGTTATAATAGGAATCCCTTTAATAAATAGGAAGATTGTGCCTCCTGGGCAAGTACTAATAAAACATGTTGAGCTGGTGGCTCTCAAATCGGATTTGGATCTGCAGTCTATGCTCTACAGGTACAGTTGCAAGAAAAAGTATGTGAACCCCTTGGGATTACGTGGACTTTTGCATGAATTGGGCATAAAATGTGCTCTGAACGTCATCTAAGTCACAACAATAAAGAACACAGTCTGCTGAACATAATACTACACAAACATTAGATGTTGCCATGGTTTAATTGCACATAAAACATGTAAACATTCACAGTGCAGGGAGGAAAAAGTATGTGAACCTTTGGACTTAATAACTGGTTGACCCTCCCTTTGGCAGCAATAACCTCAACCAAACGTTTCCTGTAGTTGCATATCAGACCTGCACAACGATCTGGAGTAATTTTGGACCACTCCTCTTCACAAAACTGTTTCAGTGTAGCAATATTCTTGGGATGTCTGGTGTGAATCGCTCTCTTAAGGTCATGCCACAGCATTTCCATCGGGTTGAGGTCAGGACTCTGCCTGGGCCACTCCAGAAGGCGTATTCTGTGCTGTTGCAGCCATTGTTTTGTTGAATTAATTGTATGCTTTGGGTCATTGTCCTGTTGCATCACCCATCCTCTGTGGAGCTTCAGTTGGCGGACAGATGGTCATATGTTTTCCTGCAAAATGTCTTGATAAACTCTGAAATTCATTTTCCCATCAATGACAACAATGCGTCCAGGCCCTGAGGCAGCAAAGCAGCCCCAAACCATGATGCTCCCTCTGCCATGTTTTACAGTGGGGATGAGTTTTTTGATGTTGGTGTGCTGTGCCTTTTTTTTTCTACACATAGTGTTGTGTGTTCTTTCCCAAACAACTCAATCTTGGTTTCATCTGTCCACAGTATATTTTGCCAGGAGTGCTGTGGAACATCCAGGTGCTCTTTTGCAAACTTCAAACGTGCTGCAATATTGTTTTTGGACAGCAATGGTTCCTCCGTGGTGTCCTCCCATGTACTCCATTCTTGTTTAAATGTTTTTCCTTATTGTAGATGTGTCAACAAAAATGTTAGCATGTGCCAGAGATTTCTGTAGGTCTTTAGCTGACACTCTGGGATTCTTCTTTACCTCATGCAGCATTCTGCGCTGTGCTCTTGCAGTCATTTTTACAGGACGACCACACCTAGGGAGAGTAGCAACAGTGCTAAACTTTTTCTCCATTTGTAGACAGTCTGTCTTACCATGGACACATGAACATCAAGGCTTTTGGAGATACTTTTGTAACCCTTTCCAGCTTCATGCAAGTCAACAATTCTTGATCGTAGGTCTTCTGAGAGCTCTCTCTTCTGCGAGGCATGGTTCACATCAAACAGTGCTTCTTGAAACCAGTAAACCCAAAACAGGTGTGTGTTTTTAAGGGCAGGAAAGCTGTCAGCAACACATCCAATATCATCACACTGATTGGAGTCAAGTTGGCTCACTTCCTGGCTCCAATTAGCTCCTGGGAGAAGTCATTAAGCTAGGGCCTCACATACTTTTTCCTCCCTGCACTGTGAATGTTTACATGTTATGTGCAATAAAACCATGGCAACATCTAATGTTTGTGTAGTATTATGTTTCTGCAGACTATGTTCTTCTATTGTTGTGACTTAGATGACGTTCAGAGCACATTTTATGCCCAATTCATGCAAAAGTCCACGTAATCCCAAGGGGTTCACATACTTTTTCTTGCAACTGTATGTTCAGACCTGGGACCACAGCATGTGGTGGAGGGAAGTCTTTCAGCACCATCTTCCCCTTCAAATCTGAGATATCCTGTGACCGACACACAGAAAGTCACAAAGTAAGCTGATACTGAAAGATGTGACGCAATTACTCATGTTCTTTCAAAACACCCACTTTCAGTATACTTCCTTCTGTTCTTCAGTGCCCATGGGCCTTCCACCCCCATGCCCTTATTATTTCAATTAAAGAAGGTAATCTTGTAAAGTCTACGGGGATAGGGACTTTTTTTTTGTCTGGAGTTGGGTCTTAGGTCAATGCTGCCCTTCACAAGATCTGTTCCTGAAAAATGAAGGGCAACCCCGCAGTTATTTTGCTGTCTTCATTTTTATGGCCCCTACACTCTGGTCTCTGTTCGGTAGTCAGATATTTCCCTCCTCCCAGACCTCAGAACCCCATAAAAACCTACCTGAATCCCACTGTCGTGTGATCTTTGAAATGACCAGTGGTCTAAAGCTGCTCTCTATTCTCTTCAATGGTCTGGCTGCCCACTTACAGCCCTACTGAAGCCAAGGGGCAGTGCCCACGTCACCAGATGCACAGTGGGCACTGCAGACCAGATCCTCCTACACTATGGAGCAGAAGACAGAATACCTATGAGCCAGAGTGTCATGTGACTGAACCTTTAGTTAAGGAATTTAATTTTTTTTTTTTTTTTTAAATAAAAATATTGAATAGGTTGGGAGTGTGTGGCAAGGACTTTTCTTTGCATTTCTCTGAAGATGAGCTTTAAAGAATTAAAGTCTCACAATAGAACGCCTAGTTTAGAAAGAGCATTGCATAAACTGGAGTATTGGAAATTGTCTCTACTACTGGATGGTAAAAAAGTGCTTCCCAATGTTTGCCCAAAAACTACTGATCTGCTGCTGAAAGTGTCTGCAAAAGTGTCCAGCATCCATGGCTGTAGCCACCTTCTACAGGACAAACTTACTTGTGATACAATTCGTCCTGAGTTGTATTTTAAGTCATAACCCCCCCCCCCCCCTCCTAAGTGCAGCTCACCTGATCCGGAGGTACTTACCTCTGTCCCCATATAAGCAATCTTCAATATGTAGCCTTATCTGGAGCTATACAGCCTTTCTTCCAAAAGCATTCTCTCCATGTTGCGCATTTGTGCCGGGGCCCCATTCATTCCTATGGGGAGAGCCGTACTTTGCCGGACTAGTGGAGGTCATGATGGGTATGACTCCTCATAGGAATAAATGGAGCCGTGAAATACAGGTGCAGGATGAAGAAAGCCTGCTAGGGGTGCACAGTGAAGATCACATTAATGGGGACCTAGGTAAGTATGGGATCATTGAGGGGGGCATGCCTTCAATGACAACTTTTACCAAAAGTTACTTTAGAGACAGCAAGATTGGCCTGGAAGGACATGTACATGAGCTGTGCAAAGCCAGGCAAGAGCTGGAAAAATTCAAGCCCAGAAGGATCCCCTGTACAGTATGTTGTAGACTTGATACATCATAACCCTTCCCTTTTCTATCCAAAGCTACAAAAAATGGCTATACAACTAATTTAAGTGGATAGCAGTTAGAGACCCTTATCCTGTGTTATAGACCAGTGGTCCCCAAACTGTAGCCCGCAGACTGGATGCAGGGACCTTTCTTTGCTTTTATACAGCCCTTGGGGCAATATTTCATCCTCTGACACCAACAAAGGGGCATAATTCTCTCTACAGACACCAACAGTGGGGTACAATTCCCTCCAATGACACCAACAATGGGGCACAGTTCCTACTAGTGACGTCAACGATGGGGCACAGTTCCTGTAAGTGACACCAACAATGGGCATGATTCTTCCCACTTAATGACACCAATGACGGGGCACAATTCCTCTCACTGATACAAAGGCTGGCCCCTTGAAGGACAGTAAACTGGCTCTTTGTTTAGAAAGTTTGGAGACCCATGTTCTAGACAAAAATACATAAGTGACAGTGATGGGTGACACGCACAAGGCTATAGTGAGTATGGGCACTAAGGCACCAAGTCTGCCACTCCTATAACTATCCACCAGTAAAGCCCTTTACAGTGATACTGCCAATGAACAATCTTTCACATAAAAGAGCATAGCTAAGTCATTGCTCTTCAGAATGGTAAAACATTTGTCATGCAGGTTAAAAAAATTCAGGCAAAATATTATTACAATAAAGACATAATTCTAGTGAGCATTTTTCATTTTATTGCCATATGTCAAATCATAAACAGATGAGTAGCCACAATATCTAAAGATCTTCGACAACCTCCGGTTTGCCTTTTATGAGATGTTTCTTCTGAGGTCCCTGTAAGAAAGGAATATATTATATGTTTCTCCAAAAACCTCATGGCATAGTAACCCCAGAACAACCCAGATAGTCATTATATCAGGGATGTCTTTGTTGTCCACTAGTCTCACAGGTCCATATTAGAGGAAGGTGTCTGCATTGGGCGCTACGTGTTGAAGAACATTTGTATATCAGGGCTGAAGTCCAAAAGCTTTGTGTAAAATCAAGGACATAAACACATCTAAAAATGTTATAGAAGGGGTAGACAAGATGTGAGAAAGCTTAGATAATGAAATGTTTTAAAGAAAAACCCCTTTTTGGCAAATAAAGCAAATTCAACACTTGAATCCACTCTCTTCATCATGAATAAGGTTTTTATTAAGTGACAGATCTGCCCTAAAAGGGACCAGTCAGGAATGGGCATTTTTAGGAAACTGAATCCCCTTAAAGTGTACATAGCAATAAACTTTGTAAAGTGTATAAATCTCTCTAGCATTTATGAATCAATAGCCAAAACTATTTTTTAGTTTTGGATAGGGTATGGTTAAAGCGCCTGACTGGTTATTGTTTGCTGCCTGTGTACCATTTCCCCTTGACTTCTTGTCCCAGAGATACAAGAGGAAGTTAGTATAAATCTTCCAAAATGGGGAGAATGTCCCTCATAGACAGTTGTCCCTAGAAAAAGTGTTTAAAAAAAAAATTCTTCTTAAATTTTGTTCTGGGGGCAACTCTAAGATTTTGGATTCCCCTCAATGACAGTGGTCTTTGGGACAAATACAGGGGTCAGTCTCCCCAGTAGGGAATAAGACAGCAATAAAAACTTGACATGGTATCTAACCCTTCTCCAATCTATCCAAAACTTTTAATACAAAGGTTTCTCGTTCAGATACACTTTAAATTCCTCACACAATCTGTACAGTTTACTTTAGGTCTACCAACAGTTATGTAGGGCAAGGGCCTGCCTGATTGAACAGTTTAACTAGCTTTCTCTTATTACATAGTTTTGGTAAATCTAAAGTTGACTGGAAAAAGATTGTACGGCTATGAAAATCACGAGGGAAAGAAGTCCCAATCCTTTTTTAAATTGTGTCGTAATGGATTGGCATGGTGCTGCGGCACCATGTGGTTTGGCACGCTTACAATCGTGCACTAGAAGCAATACAGGGAGGAGCTATACCTGCACATCTGACAAAGATAAGTGCAATTTTGGATGAGTTGGGAAAGCTCATGATTTTGTTCCTGTTGCCGATTTCCACTAATGTGAACCTGGCCGTATAGTTTGATGTTTATCATCAATATTTTACAAATAAACATTTATGACAAGGGGCCTTTATAATACTTTTAGGAGCAAGCTAGGTTTTCTAATTAGAAGCTCACCACCACATGTAGACCTGCTAACTGCATTTGCAACATGAAAATGAAGGCACCCCATCTGTGCTCAGGGGTCTACGATAGATCTCAGGATTTGGAAAAATTCATAGACCCTTGGGACTGCTGTTTATATATCTGTTACAACAGCATTTAACATACCATGAAAGCTCTCTTCTCCTGGTCTGTCTGGAAACATCCATGGCCAAACTTCGATGTAGTGTCAATGAATTTCAGCTCAATAGGCTCCAGGGCACGACGACTGGTGTGAACCAACAGAGACTATCCCCAAGAAAGAGAGAGTTAGATATGAAGAACCCAAGAAAGCTAGTTATAGACAAAAAGAACCAAAAAAAAGAGAGAGAGTTATAGACATGAAGAATCCAAAGAAAGAACGCGAGAGTTATAGACATGAAGAACCCAAAGATAGAAAGAGAGAGTTATAGACATGAAGAACCCAAAGATAGAAAGAGAGAGTTATAGACATGATGAACCCAAAGAAAGAGAGAGAGTTATAGACATGAAGAACCCAAAGAAAGAAAGAAAGAGTTATAGACATGAAGAACCCAAAGAAAGAGAGAGTTATAGACATGAAGAACCCAAAGATAGAAAGAGAGAGTTATAGACATGAAGAACCCAAAGAAAGAAAGAAAGAGTTTATAGACATGAAGAACCCAAAGAAAGAGAGAGAGTTATAGACATGAAGAACCCAAAGAAAGAAAGAGAGAGTTTATAGACATGAAGAACCCAAAGAAAGAGAGAGTTATAGACATGAAGGTTTCTATGAATTCCTAATTGTGAACAAAAAGTACTTTCCTTTAGCTTTCCTTAAATTCATTAAAATTCCAATGATAAGGACACATGCAAAACATTACCAAACCAAATTATTATTTTAAGTAAACACGTACATCTGTATTCCCACAGATAAACATACAATGCTCCCAAGCTACCTCATGTAAGCCAAGGCAACTAAATTGCTTGGTCTCTGGCTACCAGGAGCATTTTGGGTTCCTTCCATCACAGACTGAAGAGTGGCTATTATTCTCAGTCTGAAACCCAACCTAGGAGAATTGCAGTACAATAAAAAGATCAGCCAGGCACCATCGGGAGGCAGAGCCATCAATGGCAATGAGAATATATGACTACCTCCATGTACATATATATCTGCAACTAAACTGAAATAAGGTTTGGGAAACATCAATACACATTCATATGAAAAAGGTATGCACCATATCGTTTAAAATGTGTGGATACCTGTCTATCACGCCTATATGAGTGCCTTGGACTTCCTATTCCAAAGCCATGACCATTTGTCTTCCTCAATGCAGCTATAACAGATCCCACTTTTCTGGCAAGGCTTTCTACTAGGTTTTGCAGTGTGTCTGTGTGAATTTTTGCCCATTCAGCCAAAAAAAAAACATTTGTGAGGTTAGGTAGTGATGTTGGATGAGAAGAACTGGTTTGCAATAGCCGTTCCAACTCATCCCAAAGGTGTTCAGTAGGGTTGAGGTCAGGCTTTTGTGCAGGACACTCATATTCCTCCAGATCAAACTCATTAAACCCTGTCTTTATGGAGCAGGCTTTAGTAACGGCACAGTCATGTTGGAACAGAAAAACTCTTACCATAAGGCTGGAAGTGCACAATTGTCTAATGTTTCCTTATATGCTGTAGAATTAACAATGTCCTTCACTGGAAGCATGATCTTAAAGTGTTACTAAACCCACAACAGTAAAATCAGTCTGTATATGCAGTAAAGAATGCTTGTTATACTCACTGTGGAACCTAAGGGGTTAATCTTCTGCATTGTGTAAAACAGGCTGTTTGATCCTGACTTCTCTGATCCCCCCCCCTCTTCTACTGTCTCCAATCTATCTGCTAGAGCCCTAGGAGTTACTCTGCACATGCTCAGTTTGGTGTGTATTGCTAGAGTGTTTTTTTTTTCTTTGGGAGGGTACATGTGATCAGCACAAGGCCAATCACTGCTGTCTGAACAGAGGATCAGGGGTCATGCACCCTCAAAGGACAGTCAGAGGAGAATGAAAACTCCTCCTGCAAGATTAACCAGTGCTTGGCCGGACACTACTAGAAGCTGCAAGACTGCTATATACCGCTGATGAGAAAAGGTATTTAGCAGTTTATATTTACTATAATAATTGCATTTCCATGTTCTGTGTACTGTGGGAGACCAGATATAGTGAATGCAGGGTCCTGGGTTTAGTACACTTTAATCATTTGAAGAGGTGACTGCATGCTTTCGGCCATGTTTTTAAAGTGATCTTTTTTCATGCATACAGCATATCTTAAATATATACATAGAGAGTATAGATAGATAGATAGATAGATAGATAGATAGATAGATGATAGATAGATAGATAGATAGATAGATAGATAGACACACCATATATATATATATATATATATATATATATATATATATATATACGAAGCACAGTCACAGAAGATCAACTCACCTTCCTAAGTGTGAGCACTCTCTTCTTGCTTCCCACCACACAACCTTTAAGCATGATAAAGTCATTATTGACTTGGCCGTAATGTGGGAAACCTCCCTGGGGAAAAAAGTGAGACATGTTACAAGCACCTATATTACCCACATAAAGTGTAGGCAGCCATTTTATCCTATGGGTTCACTCTGAATGTGTGATAATGCAGTTTAAAAACCACAAAGAGCTTTTAAAACAAAGTTTTAATACGCAAATTACATTTTAAAGGCCATCAAAATGGACAAGCCAAGTGCTAAATGCACACAAGTGGATTATTCATGTTTTCTTAAACTGTTTTAAAAGGAACCCAACAGCTGCTGTTGCTGACTTGTTTACAAAGGTGCGCGGTTCAGGGCAATCATCCTCATCCTGATTTTACCATTTGGTAAGTCAATGGCCCTGTTCTGGTCACCGCAGGACAAGAAATAAAGGGAGCAGTAGTCACTGTGACAGGACCAAGAATAGAAAAAATAACTAAGTTCATGTCTTCTCCAGCCCTTAGGCTCCATGCGTTTTAATAATGCTGGAAATGTTCGCTGTGTAAAGTCACGTTAAAAATGTGAGTTTTTCAGCTTTCTTTAGTGTCTTTGCATTAGCGTTTAGTGGCATTTTGCCGCGTTTAGCTGCATTTTTCCATGTTTGTGTTTTTAAATGTGTTTTTTTCTGCAAAAAAAATTTTTGTCAAAAAAAGTCCAAACACGCCGGTTTGCAGCGTTTTACCGTGTTTTTCAGTGTTAAGAGTGTTTTTACAACTAAAAAAATGCTCTAGAAACCCACTAGTTCTGGGGGTTTTTTCAGCCAAAAAACGCTGATTACAGTCTGTGTGCATGGACACATAGGATAACATGCTGGGGGGTTTACTAGCTGTAGAAAAAAAACATCAAAAAGCCAAAAACAGCCGCTGAAAAAATGGCCCATGTGCATGACGATTATCATCAGTGTTTTTGTATCTCTGCATATGTCTTACTTACAACATGTACAAAATGCCACCACAGTATCGTCAAAAAATGTAATACAGGCAAATATGCCATTTGTTAGGTTGTATTTTCTGTAATACTGTGAGGGCATCTGAAAATATGAGAAGGAAATATGCAGAGATGCAAAAAAAAAATGTGCTATTATTGTCCAAAAAAGCTTTTAAATGGTACGTACCATTTTAATATTTTTACTGAATCAATACAAATGGAAACATTTTATATTCATACACATAGGCATCTTTAATGTGCATGTACAAGCAAAAAGTAGAGACGGGTCAAATTTCCTTTTCAGTTGGTTTTTGCCACCTGTGTGCCATTGGGGAAATTTACCTTGATTTCCTGTCCCAGAGACACAAGCAGGAGGAGGAGTTTGCCTTTTAGACAGTTGTCCTTGGAACTGGTGTTCCAATTGGACGATTTCTCTCTACCACTTGTTCTAGGGAGAACTCCAAATTTCTGGACTTCCATTCCTGGTCACCAGTACAAGTAGATGGGTGAATCTCCCCAATGGGGAGATAGACAGCAATAAGAATTTGACACAGGCTCTAATCCTTCCGACCAGGGGCGGACTGACCATTTGGAAACTTGGGCACTGCCCGAGGGCCCGGGGTCAGTAGGGGGCCCCATGAGATGCCCCTGGTACCTTTTTCATAGGCTTTTTTGAGTTTGTACAAAGACACAGGGGCCCCATGATCCTTTATTGCCCGGGGGCCCCATGAGTTGTCAGTCCGCCCCTGTTCCCGACTCTATCCGAACTAAAAAAAGATACACTTTAAAGAAATTTTATTTTTGTTCTTTAACCACTTGCTGCCTGCCCACAGTAAATTTACTGCTGGTGGGTAGCAGCTCCAAGCTAAGCGATGTACTGGTACCTTGCTCAGCCCATGTGCATTGGCGCAGCGGCGGACACAATGGATCACAGTGCTTGGTACCCGGCTGTTGGGGCCGGCTTCCACTTGTGACAGCTTGCTTACTGTGGTGATGCTGTGATTGACCACAGCTATAACATGATGCCTGGCACCTTGTACCATGTGATTATCAGTGGCCAATCATAGCATCACAAAAGTATGCAAGCTGTCATAAATGAAAGCTATTCATAGCAATTAAAACTATTGCTTATAACAGTGATCATCAATACGGGCTCATGTACACTGCAGCTGATAAACTCACGTTCAGGAGCTTTTCTGCATTTTTTTTCAGCAGCCCCTGAACTCTCCCTAATGTTTTCCTATGTGTCCATGTACACATCATCGTTTACAGTCATTTACATTTTTTTTTAACGCACCAAACTTGCGTTCAGGAGTAGATTTTATCAGTGTTTCAAACGCCAAACGCTTGTAAAAGCGTGTAAACACAGCTAACTGCGTTTATAAGCGTTTGTGTTTAGAAGCGTTTTTTAACTGTTCCATATCCAGATGCTGTCCAGAGCCCTTTTTCATCATCAGAAATGCATGCAAAATGTTTTCCATGTACTCAAATGGACTTGGTACACCAGCGTAGTCAGTTTCAGGTTTTGCGTGAAGGAAAAAAATGTTAGAACGTGCCGCATTATGCTCATGATGGGATCCATAGTGAATACAACCAGAAAAGACAGGTCATCTCAACACATACTACTCTCTCTGCTTCTGCTCTCTCTCTATTTCTCTCAAAATGTCTGAAATAGTTAATTTTTGCTATTTTCAGTGCTTTCTGGGCATTTTGGAAGGTCTCCTGAGGTTATCATTAAAAAAAACACTTCTAAACGCAAACGCACATAAACGCGGTATGCAAAACGCGGCTTTAACCTACGTTTTCCAGCAGTCAGTTTCAATCATTCAGAAGAGTTTTCCAAACGTCCCGTATACATGGAGCCTAACAGTGTACAAAAAAATCCCTGATCACCCACCCAAACAAACTGTGGTAACACTGAACTACTATGATGACAGTATGCAAAAAAAATGTATCAGAGAAAAAAGAATGTTAAAAAAAATATAGTTAAAAAATTTAATAAAAAATCATTTAAAATCACACCCATTTGGGCTAAACCGTATCCTGTTGGAGAACTGAGATTCCCCTGGCTAAATAGAGAGAGATGAAAGTTCTGCATATTTAAAACAGCATTTAAATAATCAAGTGCAAGAAAAGCTAAAAGGAACAGATGAGTCCCGGCTTGTCATGTGACCACTTGGCTGGGGTGTACAGTTCATACCAATGGTGTAATGGACTTGTCTGTGAGGTCATACTGCGTTTGCTGCATTGTTCTTCACGACTTTTCCATCCTGCAGATGTATTCCCCGGCCAATGCGATAAATCTATGGGAAGAAGAGGGAGCATTGTTACAATGGATGGGCACTGCTTGTAGTATCTGCGCTGATCTCCAGAGAGCTGAGACTGCCCTCTAGTGACTGTGTGAGGTACCCAGCATGCATTATTGCAATGTGATACTCATCACAGTACCTCAGTATCAGTGATAATGCCTATATAAAGACGCTGCCCAATGTGATGTCATCTTATATCAGAAAGATCATTTGGCACATTTGTTAGGTAATCTTTTCTGATAGTTTTTCATTTCTACTTGCCATTGTACAGATACATTATATAAAGTCAACTCTAGCCATTCGACTTTTCAGTGAAAGGATTTAGATGATTTATGAGCTTTCGTGTCAGTTCAACATGAAATAAAGAAAAAAAAAAAGGAAAAAAAGAACTGTTAAAAGAAGAAATGAAATGAGACTGTGAAGAGGAGAAGAGAAAGGTGAAGAGGATAGGAGTTGCAGAGGAGAGGACAGGAGGAGAGGAGAGGAGGAGTGGAGAGGGGAAGACAGGAGGAGTGGAGAGGAGAGGAACAGGAGGAGTGGAGAGGAGAGGACAGGAGGAGTGGAGAGGAGAGGACAGGAGGAGTGAAGTGGAGAGGACAGGAGGAGTGGAGAGGAGAGATGAAGACAGGAGGAGTGGAGAGAAGAGGAGAGGACAGGAGGAGAGGAGAGGAGAGGAAAGGAGAGGACAGGAGAGGAGAGGACAGGAGGAGTGGAGAGGAGAGATGAAGACAGGAGGAGTGGAGAGAAGAGGAGAGGACAGGAGGAGAGGAGAGGAAAGGAGAGGACAGGAGAGGAGAGGTGAAGACAGGAGGAGTGGACAGGAAAGGAGAAGAGAGGACATGAGGAGAGGAGAGGAGAGGAAAGGAGAGGACAGGAGAGGAGAGGACAGGAGGAGTGGAGAGGAGAGGATGGGAGGAGTTGAGAGAAGAGAAGGGGGTAGAGAGATGAGAAGAAAAGAGAGAGAGTGAAATAGGAGAAGATATAAAAAGAGAGGAAGAAAATTGTAAAAGGGAGAAAGGATAGGTGAGAAGAAAAATGTGAAGAGTAGAGAAGAAAGGACGATAGGACAGGATAAGATAGGAGTAGTGAGCTGAGAAGAAAAAAAGAGAATAGGAAGGGATAGGAAAATGTAGAATAGATGGAGAGAACGTGAAAGGAAATGAAAAAGGAGAGGAGATGAGGTAAGAGAAAAGGGAAGGAAAGGAGAACAGACTTGAGAGAAGAAAAGTATAGCATGGAGAGGAGAAAGAAGAGAAGTTAAAGAAGAGATTGCGGGGAAGAGAAGAGAATGCGGGAAGAGAAGTGAAGAGAATGCGGGAAGAGAGAAGAGAAGAGAATGTGGGAAGAGAAGAGTAGAGAATGCGGGAAGAGAAGAGAATGTGGGAAGAGAAGAGTAGAGAATGCGGGGGAAGAGAAGAGAATGTGGGAAGAGAAGGAATGAGAAGAGAATGCAGGAAGAGAAGAGAATGCAGGAAGAGAAGAGAGAATGCAGGAAGAGAAGAAATGAGAAGAGAAGAGAATGTGGAAAGAGAGAGAATGTGGGAGAGAAGAGAATGCGAGAAGAGAAGAGGAGAGGAGAGAAGAGAAGGGAAGAGGAGAGGTGAGAAGAGAATGTGGGAAGAGAAGAGAATGCGGGAAGAGAAGAGAATGCGAGAAGAGAAGAGGAAAGGAGAGAAGAGAAGGGAAGAGGAGAGGTGAGAAGAAAAGAGAGAGAGGAGAGGAAAGATGAGAGAAGAAGTTGGAAGAGGAGAGGAGAGGAGAAAGAATAGTAAGTACAATACAAAAAATGAGAGCATAGGAGAAGGGAGGACATGAAAAGAGATAAGAGGGAAGGAGATTGGAGGCAAAAGAAAACTTAAAAGAAAGCACAGGTAAGAAGTAAATAAAGAGCGGAAGACAGTGATGGAAGTAGTCAGAGGAAGAGCAATAGATAGAGAGATAGATAAAAAGGGTGTGACTAGAAGGTGAGGAATAGAGAGAGAAGACAGAGATCTCAGGTACCTTCTTGTTGATCTCTGTGCGGTGGTGATATCCCTTTTGCCCAGCTCGGGCTATAGTATATGCCACTCTAGCGGGATGCCAGGCTCCAATACAAGCCACCTTGCGAAGCCCCTTGTGCGTTTTACGGGGTAACTTCTTAGTGTGCCAGCGTGATGTTACACCTGTCACAAGATGAATATAGAAAGTCTTTACTGCCTGTCCTCTGAAAGAATGTTGCCAATTATGTCTGAATTAGACTCCTCAAGTCCTCTAAATGATTAATCAGGTTCTTCCTGCCCATCGCCTCCCCTCTATCAGGTTTCTAGAAACCCTTCATTTCCAAATAAAGCAATCATTCTAAAGGTACAGTACAGTGAGTTCCCCTGAGTCTGGCATTGTACTGTCACCTTTCATTCCTTTTCCCTTGGTGACTCCGATAACATCAATCATTTCATCCTGAGAGAAGACCGTGTTCACTGGGATATGTTTCTCCAGCTTCTCATGTGCCCAGTGTCCACCTTCTCCACCACAGTGCCACCATTAAGTTGGATCTCCATCACATGGGCCTTTTTTTGTCGCATGGGGAGGAGCTTCATCTGCATGGAGGGGACAGAGAGATCATTGACTAGACAGAATTACAAAGCATTTGTAGGCAACACTTCAAACCAATCAAAGAACAGCTTTTACTAGCCAGGAAACTCCGCAGCTATGCTAAAGTCATACAATCCAGTTCCTTTATCCTCCAAGTTTACAGAACCCATTGCAGCCAGATCCAGGAAACTCTTCCACGGGCAGGGACGGACTGACCATTTGGAAACTCAGACACTGCCCCAGGGCCCAGGGTCAGTAGGGGGCCCCATGAGATGCCCCTGGTACCTTTTTCATAGGCTTTTTTGAGTTTGGGCAAGGACACAGGGGCCCCATGATCCCCTATTGCCCGGGGGCCCCATTAGTTGTCAATCTGCCCCTGCCCACGGGCTTCTAGGAAGAACTGAAACCAGCTTGTTTAGGATTCTGTACTGTAATTCATCCTCCCCTCCCTAAAATGTAAACAATCAGCCTACAATGGGCTGAATTGGGGATGCTTGGGCTAAACAGTAACAGCTTTTGGTACTGGTGTCAATGAGTGGGCAGCCAGACCAGAGAGACTAATAGCATGTAGATTCGAAAAAAAAAGCCATGTGGGAACCCATATGGAAAAAGATATATTTGAAATATATTTTAAAAATATTCTTCCCAAATACATTGACATATATTTGAAATGCTACAATTTTGGCCATATTCAATATATTTCAAAATCCCTGCTCAGGGATTCACCCAGATCACCTGGATTAGGAGAATCTAGGGTCTTTGGTGGTACAACTAGAGACACTGCCTAGCTCTACAAGAAGAGGATATTGCTGTAAAAACTTGTATATAGTTCCAGGAAGTTGTCCTCGGTTTCACAGTTCCATTGGGCATCCCGTACACCCCTTACCCTATCCCAGTTCAAATCCCCTAATAAAACTTCAAACAAAGCCAAGGACTGGTTACTGTCTCCTGGATTCAAGTTAATGTGGAAATGTGTGTTGCCTGGCTGTGCAGGACCATAGGGGTCCCAAAACGTCAGCAACTCCTAAGGGAGTAGTGCTACATATTCATTGGATCCGGTGGATTAGAAAAATGTTGCAGTTTTTTCGGAAGATTGCTATATATACGATATATTATTGAATCAGACAGATTTGACTCAGAAAGATTCAATATTTTCAGATACTAGTCCAACCCACCAAGAGAAATGACACGAGCTGATTGGACAATATTGACTGGCGTCATGTGCAATTAATGAATGGAACGAAATTCAGACCATTTGTTATCCGAAATTCAAACTATTGAACAAATTTGAACATTGAATTCATTTCCCCATGGGCCTGAACTACTATCGCATCTGTGATGTGATGTCATCCAAATTAAATGAATGAAACAAATGAAATTGTTAATTTTGTTATAAATTTGTTTTCGGATTCGTTGATATTAATTTTTGTGTCCATTCAGAGGCTCGGATACATCCCAATCTCCAAAAAATAACATTGTCCCCAAAAAAAACAAATCAAAACAAAATGAACGGCACAGGTCTACTCATTAGGGGGCACCCTGTTTGTCAGGAACTGACCTGAGTTTAGTTAGTGGCTTGGACAAGCAGTTATTTTGTTAGTTGGATGCCATCCCATATGGAAGAAAAATATATGTGAAATATATTTTTTAATTATTCTTCCCAAATTTGTCACATATTTCAAATACTACAATTTTGGCCATATTCAATATATTTCAAAATATATTTAAAATATATATATATATATATATATATATATATATATATATATATTATATAATATATTTAAATATATATATACTGCATGTTGAAAATGGTTTTTACTACAAAATATATGAAAAATATTTTAAAAATACATTTCAAATATACTGTATGTCTTTAAAAATACAAATCTACATTTTTGGAATACAAATATATGTAAAAATGTATGTTAAAATTACTTTTTTTCATGTTAAAAAAAATCTGAAAAATACATTTAAAAATATTTTTTTTAAAAATCTATTTTTTTTAAATATATTTTTCAGATTTTTTTAACATATAAAAAAGTAATTTTAACATATATATTTACATATATTTGTAAATGCATTCCAAAAATGTAGATTTGTATTTTGCAGTATATTTCAAATGTATTTTTAAAAATAATTTTCATATATTTTGTAATAAAAACTTCAAAAATTTCAACATGCAGTATGTGTAGTATGTATATATATATATATATATATATATATATATATATATATATATTAGAGAGAGAGAGAGAGAGAGAGATTTTTAAATATATTGAATATGGCCAAAATTGTAGTATTTGAAATATATGGCAATATATTTGGGAAGAAAATTTTAAAATATATTTCCAATAATGAGTAGACTTGTTCCGTTCATTTTGTTTTGATTCGGGTTTTTTTGGATGAAAATGTTATTTTTTTGGACGTTGGAATGTGTCCGAACTTCTGAATGGACACAAAAATGAATGTCAATGAATCCGAAAAAAAAGTTATAAAGAAATTAACAATTGCATTTGTTTAATCAATTTCATTTGGATGGCATCACATCACAGATGTGATAGTAGTTCAGGCCCATGGGGAAATGAATTCAATTTTCAAATTCGTTCAATAGTTTGAATTTCGGATAACAAATGGATCTGAATTTCGTTCCATTCATTAATACATACAGTATATTTGGAACGTATTTTTAAAATTACTTTTCATATATTTTGTAATAAAAAGACATTTCAACAAGCAAAATATATATATACAAATATATATATATTTTTTTTTTTTTTTTTTTTTAATTGAAATATATTTTGAAATATATTGAATATGGCCAAAATTGTAGCATTTCAAATATATGTCAATATATTTGGGAAGAATATTTTTTAAAATATATTTCAAATATATTTTTCTTCCATATGGGTATTAAAGTTACTTACCTGTCCGTTTGCTTTTGTACAATGAGCTGTACGCGCAGCTCAGTAATGCCAAATCTGACTGAACTCCAGCGCATGCGCGGGAGTAATGTCATCTTCGCCTGGATCGAGACCAAGAACGATGTCAGCTGCTGGGAGGGGAGCTCCAGGACACCGCATCTCTGGAGTCGAGGGGAGTATAGTATTTATTGAAATATATTTTGAAATATATTGAATATGGCTAGAATTGTAGCATTTCAAATATATGTCAATAGATTTGTTAAGAATATTTTTAAAATATATTCTTCTTCTATGTGGGAAGCCTCTTCCTGATTGCTATCCAAGCACTGCCGCTCCAGCGAGGTAGTCCCACCCCATCCTTGGGCCTGGGATCCCTCCAGCCATTCACCTGTGTTACCAGAGCTGCCCTGGACTTCACTGAAATGGGTTCTATTATGAGGATAAGTGCAAGTAGCTGTATTCTGTACTGTTTTATGGAGGTTCTGATCTCCTGTCTTCCGTGTTCCCTCACCTGGGTGTGAACGATGACTCGGATAACCTTGCAATATTTCTTCATGGCTGCAAAGTCTTTTTCCAGCTGCTTTTTGCCTCCCTCATCCTGCCATTTCTTGCAGTACTTGGTAAAAGCCTTCTTTTTACTTTTATACCTGCAGGAGAAAGACGGCTCAATGTGGATATCTGCAAAGCAAGCCAGAGCGTAATGACTATCTACATCAGAAAAAGAAGCATCTATATCCCTGACTTTCACTGTCCCGTAATAGGTTGGGTCTGGGTTCAGGATGAGCTGGGCTCAGAGGAAGTGGGTTGAAGGATGCTGGTTTAGCAGCAGAAAAAAATACTGAAGGAAAAATATCCAGATCAACAGTGAATACTGTGGCAAAAAACTGGTTCTGTATTTTATCTTTTAACCACCTCCCGTCTGGCCACTGTATATAAACGGCCGGTGGCAGTGCAGGGGCAGGTTGCCATTCAAAAAACGGTGCTCGCCATTTTGGATTGTACTTGCTCCCTGGGCACTGATCACTGTACAGGACTTCTGTATGAGGTCCCAATCATGTGATCACTGATTGGCCAATCAGTGATCACATGAATAGGTGTAAGCAAGATGTCACTTCTGACATCATTGCTTACTACGTGTGAAATCTGTGAATGATCTCAGAGATCACATGGTACAGGGCTATTCACAACAGCCTTGTACCATGTGACAAGCTGTGACCAATCACAGCTCTCACAGTATTTCTCAATGGCTGCAAGAATGCAGCCAGACAGAAGAAGAAATTATTGCTTTTACAGCCTTTTTGGGTGTAAAAGCAATCAGTGTAAAAAAAAAAAAAAAAAAAATCTTCATCACACCCCACAAGCAGTACAGGGTCACTATAGTGACACTGTGCTGCTAGGGTGACAGTATGTTTAAAAACAAAATTATAAATAATAATATAAAAAAATAAAATAAAAGTGTAAAAGAAAATTTTTGGAAAAATTATAATTTTTGGTTATAAACTAATTTTTTTTTTTTTCTAAAAAGATAAGTGAATATATTTTGGCCAAGATTTATGAAGACAGATTATTTATTTGCAAAGTTTTATAAGAAAAAACACTTTTTTTTTCAAAATTTTGGACTTTTTCTGTCTCAAAAAAGCTAAAATATTCATATGGGTACAGTGTTGCATGACCGCGCAATTGTCATACAAAATGTGATAGCGCTGAAAGCTGAAAATTGGCCTGGACAGGAAGGGGGTGAAAGTGTCCGGACATGAAGTGATTAATAGGCTATTATTTTTTATCTGGAGTTCTGCTTTAACCATTAGGAGTCCTTTTTCTTCATCTCTTTCAGCAGTGACCAATGCCCAGATGAAGGGGGCATTAAAAAGGTCCAAAAATGTATTAGATGTTATCATATGAGGAAATAAACATCTTTGGACTCTTAACAAATAGGAGGTTTTGGATCCTTGGGGGGTTTCTGCTTTGTTTGATTACCATTTCTGTTATTCTGTTTATTATGGGATCTGTTTATCCACGTTCAGGGTCGGACTGACCATTTGGAAACTCTGGCACCGCCCGAGGGCCCGGGGTCAGTAGGGGGCCCTATGAGATGCCTCTGGTACCTTTTTCATAGGCTTTTTTGAGTTTGGGCAAGGACACAGGGGCCCCATGATCCCCTATTGCCCGGGGGCCCCATGAGTTGTCAGTCCGCCCCTGTCCACGTTGTTCCATTTACGTGTAATCCTGCTGTTGCAGTAATGTCATTGTGGATTCTGTAAGTACTGTTCCATTTTCTTTATTATCTTGACAATAAAAGTTGTTGGGATTTAAAAAAAAAATACAAATAGGAGTTTATTTATAAAATAAAAAAAAACAATTTGTTTGATCGTGACAGCATTTGCAAAGCTGTAGCAACTAATCCCCATAAAACATCAAATGTGTTTATTTCCTGTGATCATCAGCTCTATCTAGTGGTCATAATATGGTACTTTCCTGAAATACTTCAATCAGGAAAATACCCCATAACCGTTCTCATTTGTTGCTGCTGTGCAGTGTGGTAGCGTGTGAATCACAGTACTTGCCAAACAGAATAACAACCTTTGGCAGTAAAACAATAATAAACATATTCTACCCATAAAGGTCTCACCAGTTCCTATAGAAGCGTCTTTTGCATTCATCACTGATGTGCTCAGCAAATATGGTCTTCAGACTTCGCAATCCTCGAGGAGTCTCCACGTATCCCACAATGCCAACCACAACCAGTGGGGGCGTCTCAACGATGGTAACCGCTTCCACTTCTTCCCGCTTGGAAATCTCTGATTGAAATATAAAAAGGGGACTTTTTTGTTTAGAGTATTCTTTTAGACAGATATTAATTCTGATGGGTCTAAAAGAAGGAAATTAATTCTCATCCTCCTGAAGCATATCTAAACACAACCTGACCCCTTTGAGCCCCATCCCCACCACGCTAAAAATTCCAGCTACATAACGCATGCGCAACATGAATGGGATTAGCTCACAGTCATTAAGCCCATGTAAAACAAATTATTCAGCGCGATGCATTATTTAAATATTTTTTATTATTTATTTTAAATATTTATGGAATTTACCGTATATAGCACTGACAATTTACGCAGCACTCTACATATTGTATATACCAACGGCCAGGGGCGGACTGACAACTCATGGGGCCCCCGGGCAATAGAGGATCATGGGGCCCCTGTGTCCTTGCTCAAACTCAAAAAAACCTACGAAAAAGGTACCAGGGGCATCTCATGGGGCCCCCTACTGACCCCGGGCCCTCGGGCAGTGCCTGAGTTTCCAAATGGTCAGTCCGCCCCTGCCAACAGTATATATTTATATTATAAGGGGGAACAGGTTCAACTGGCATTAGCAACAGTAAACCGCGTACAAGACAGGGACACCCCGGGACAGTCCAAGTAGGTTTGTCCTGCACTTTTATTCCACAAGGTAGTAAGCAGTTTTTAATGCAGGAGCGCTTTGCACAGCAAATCCATCCCATATGGAAGAAAAATATATTTGAAATGTATTTTAAAAATATTCTTCCCAAATATATTGACATATATTTGAAATACTACAATTTTGGCCATATTCAATATATTTCAAAATATACTTCAATAAATATATATATATACTGCATGTTGAAATGTGTTTTTATTACAAAATATATGAAAAAAATACATTTCAAATATACTGCATGTCTTTAAAAATACAAATCTAAATTTTTGGAATGCATTTACAAATATATGTAAAAATATATATTAAAATTACTATTTGTTAAAAAAAATCTGGAGTATATCTAACCACCTCCCGTCCTGCCGTTGTATATAAACGGCCGGACGGTGGCACTGCAGGGTCGGGTGGCTGTTTATAAACGGCCTCCCCGCTCCCTGCTTGTGCACGCTCCCTGGGAGTGCACAGCACCGCAATCCATTGTCCGCTGTGTCCTCCGGAAACAGTGGAACACTGATCGTTATACGGGACCTCTGTGTGAAGTCCCGATCATGTGATCACTGATTGGCCAATCAGTGATCACATGCAGAGTAGTAAGCAAGATGTCACTTCTGACATCATTGCTTACTATGTGTGACATCTGTGAATGATCACAGAGATCACATGGTACAAGGCTATTCACAACAGCCTTGTACCATGTGACAAGCTGTGACCAATCACAGCTCACACAGTTTTTCTTAATGGCTGCAAGAATGCAGCCAGAGAGAAGGAGAAATGATTGCTTCTTACAGCCTTTATGGGTGTAAAAGCAATCAGTGTAAAAGAAAAAAAAAAATCTTCATCACCCCCCATAATTAGTACAGTGTCACCATGGTTTGAATTGTTCAATAGTTTGAATTTTGGATAACAAATGGATCTGAATTTCGTTTCATTCTTTAATTGCACATGACGCCAGTCAATATTGTCCAATCAGCTTGTGTCATTTTTCTTGGTGGGTTGGACAAGTATCCAAAAATATTGAATCCTTCTGAGTCAAATCTGTCTGATTCAATAATATATTGAATATATAGCAATCTCCTGGAAAAACTGCAACATTTTTCTAATCCACCGGGTCCAATGAATATGTAGCACTACCCCCTTAGGAGTTGCTGACGTTTTGGGTCCCCCTATGGTCCTGCACAGCCAGGCAACACACATTTCCACATTAACTTGAATCCAGGAGACAGTAACCAGTCCTTGAGCTTTGTTTGAAGTTTTATTAGGGGATTTGAACTGGGATAGGGTAAGGGGTGTACGGGATGCCCAATGGAACTGTGAAACCGAGGACAACTTCCTGGAACTATATACAAGTTTTTTTACAGCAATATCCTCTTTTTGGAGAGCTAGGCAGTGTCTCTAGTTGTACCACCAAAGACCCTAGATTCTCCTAATCCAGGCGATCTGGGTGAATCCCTGAGCAGGGAATCCAGTGCCTGACACTTTAAAAGAAGACAGTCCCAGGTAGAAAGCTAATCTTGTTTCCACCAGTGCCCTTATCTGGCCCAGGGGGTGCAGGTCTACTCACTTAGTCCTTCTCCTGTGTTGCTGGTGGGTCAGTGGCTGCTACCAGGCATTCTAGCTGGGCCGCTCCTTCCCTGCGACACAGGTGGTCCTCTGTCTAAGGGCCAATGAAGTCCCAAGTCTTCCTCCTTCCAAACTTCTTGCCTGGAGGTGACTCCCTCTCTGTCTGGGCCCCCTCCCAGGCTCCTGCTCTCCAGCATCACTTTCTCATCTTCCACCCAAACTCTCCTCCTGCTGAACAGGATCAGTTACTTAAAGTCTGTCCTGGCCTCTTGCCAAGCTTCCTGTTGGGGATTGGCCAGGATCCTCTAAGAGTACAGACCATCCTCTCCTCACTTCCACTCACTGCTTCTAGATCTTTCCCCAAAGTTCTAGAGCAGGGGGAAATCCCAGAGAGTTGGTCTGCAGTGCCTCTCAGCTCTGACCCAAATTTGACCGTGCTAGCTATCCCACCCAGGCTGCTACTCACCCCTCTTGACTAACCATTAGACTTTAGCTCCCCCTAGCTAACTAGGAGGGTGCCACAAATACATGAAATGAAGGCTGAATATTTCTACGTATGAGTTCCTCAAAAAACAAATCAGCAACAACACGTATACCTTTTTAGTTCTTTTGACAGCAGTCAGGCTTTTCACCCAGCAGCAGGCTCTGAGAATAGAGCAAAAGAGCGCTGAGTATTAGTCAGCTCACATGTAGACTGCTTCTACAAACATTTGTGAAAGATGGGTCGCTCTCAGGAGCTCAATGAATTCAAGCGTGGTACCGCGATAGGTTGCCTCCTGTGGAATAAGTCCATCTGTGAATCTGTAAGATTCCTTGCTACTACGGTCAACTGTTAGTGGTATTATAACAAAGTGAAAGCAACTGTGAACAACAGCAACTCAGCCACGAGGTGGTAGGCCACGTAAAATGACAGAGCGGGGTCAGCGCATGTTGTGGCGCACAGTGCGCAGAAGTTACCAACTGTCTGCAGAGTCAATAGCTAAAGACCTCCAAACTTGGTGTGGCCTTCAGATTAGCACAACAACAGTGTGTAGAGAGCTTCATGGAATGGGTTTCCATGGCCGAGCAGCTGCATCCAAGCCTTACATCACCAAGTGCAATGCGAAGTGTTGGAAGCAGGATGTAAAGCACGCCGCCACTGGACTCCGGAGCAGTGCAGACGTGTTCTCTGGAGTGACCAATCACGCTTCTCTGTCTGGCAATCTGATGGACGTGTCTGGGTTTGGCAGTTGCCAGGAGAACGGTACTTGCCTGACTGCAATGTGCCAAGTGTAAAGTTTAGTGGAGGGGGATAATGGTTTGGGGTTGTTTTTTCAGGGGTTGGGCTTGGCCCCTTAGTTCCAGTGAAGGGAACTCTTAAGGCGTCAGCATACCAAGACATTTTGGACAATTTCATGCTCCCAACATTGTGGGAAGTTTGGGGATGGCCCCTTCCTGTTCCAACATGACTGCGCACCAGTGCACAAAGCAAGGTCCATAAAGACATGGGTGAGCCAGTTTGGGGTGGAGGAACTTGACTGGCCTGACCTCAACCCGATAGAACACCTTTGGGATGAATTAGAGCGGAGGCTGATGGGCCAGGACTTCTCGGCCAACATCAGTGCCTGACCTCACAAATGTGCTTCTGGAAGAATGGTCAAACATTTCCATAGACACCCTCCTAAACCTTGTGGATGGCCTTCCCAGAAGAGTTGAAGCTGTTATAGCTGCAAAGGGTGGGCCAACTCAATATTGAACCCTACGGACTAAGACACTGGGATTCCATTAAAGTTCATGTGCGTGTAAAGGCAGGCTGACCAATACTTTTAACAATATAGTGTGCATATATATATATACAGTATATATACAGTGTATATATATATATATATATATATATATGTGTGTGTGTGTGGACAGCTGAGATTAAATTAAAATTAGGGCTAAAGCTCTTTTGGCCCTACTTCTCCTTCTTGATCATAGGAGTGCACTTAGTTCTGCACTCCTGTGACCCTTTTTCAGCCAGACTGTTGGCTGACGTCACTGAGGCAGTCCAGGTCTTGAAGAGATCCTAACTTTAAAGTCAAGGTCCACCCAGATACCTACACTGGCAGCTGGTTTTTCTTCTCAGTAAGCCGCTATTAGCTTGAGCCAGCTGCTCCCTCCCCTTCCACAGCCCAATGCTCAGGTGAGTACTGGAGGGGCAGAGCAGAGTGCAAGTGATGGCTGGTCATTGGCTTTCTGCTCACTGAAGACTGAGAACCAGGCAATCAGTGGTCTTTGATCTAACAGTTCTGGATCTCAGATGTAGGATCAGATCAATGCTGCATCCACCTAGGTGAGTATGACGGTTTGTTTTTTTGCATTCCTGAACTTCTCTTTTAGTAATGAGGTTTGGCTAACAGATAAGATGTGGACTTTGGAATAGAGGCTTTATCCCACTCAAACCTCTATAAAAGCCTCCAGGCTCCAGGACTCGGACCAGATTCTGAGAAAACAGAGAATTTTTTTCCACAACACCCATAACTTATGAAGCCCTTCACCATGTGTAGGGGAAAAAACTCAGTGACCCATACATATACTGTATAACCTGTATATATATATATATATATATATATATATATATATATAGATATAGAGATAGAGAGAGAGAGAGAGAGAGGGGGGGATTGAGAGACAGAGAACGAAAGAGTATAAAGCCTAACAACAACCAATTTTTTTTAAAGAGCTAAAGTGATTTTGCCATTTTAGAAAATACATCCAGATGATCTTTTTTGCAATAGAAGAGATAGCATACTCACCTCTCCAGAAGCCATTGTCTCCTGCTTTCCCTCTGTTTCATCAGGGTCTTTGGCGTTCATTGTTTCAGGAGTGTCAGATACCTGTTTTCCCCACCCATAAGCAATTATTTTTTCCTCAGACCCCTACATCACACTAAGTTCTGTAGTGACATAGGAGTCATAGCAAGGACCTACAGTAGGTCAAGGAGGACATAGACAACCAACATTCCTGGAAGTGTCGAAGGAGGCTAAACAAAGGCAAGGTGGGAAGCACGGGCCATGAAAGAGATGAGAGCATACTACTTTGTTTGTGTAAGAAAAATAATTTGGATATTTTGAGGGTTACTCTGTGAACCAATGTGGAGATTTTTCTCCCACTTTCTCTCCCATTGACACCAAACAGGGAATGGGTAGACAGATTTCCCGTCACTACTTGTTGTGGAAGGAAGTGAAGGGAAATCTCCACAATGGGAACAAAAACAGCTGTAAAGTCCTAATAGAGGTTCCAAATCCTTCCCAATTTGTCCAAGACAAAATAAAATGAAATGGCATTTAAAAACATAAGGTTGCACAAAACCAGTACAGCTTACTTTAAGATTTCATAATGTTTTTCACTGTACTCATATTTCCTTTTAAAAACTGCTTTTGACCAGCAAAGTAATGTCTTACACATTTGGATTTTATTTGTCTTTCAATTTCACTCACTCAGTCCTGTCCTGTGGACCTCGCGCAGCGTATGGGTCATTCCGGCCTTGTATCCCAGGAAAGCTGTCAGGTGAACTGGTTTAGTTGGGTCATCCTTGGGCCAGGTCTTCACTTTACCACGATGGCGCTTGCTGCGCTTGTGAGGAAGAAACCCCAGGTGGCCATGACGAGGGGCTGAGAACTTACGATGAGACTGCAAAGGGCAATTAACAGGTTGTCAGTGTTGTAATCCAGTAGCTTCTCTTCTATAAGTGTTCTGGCAGGGTGATAGGTCACTTGAGTAAGGATCAGGTGCGGACTGACCATTTGGAAACTTGGGCACTGCCCAAGGGCCCAGGGTCAGTAGGGGGCCCCATGAGATGCCCCTGGTACCTTTTTCATAGGCTTTTTTGAGTTTGGGCAAGGACACAGGGCCCTATGGTCCCCTATTGCCTGGGGGCCCCATGAGTTGTCAGTCCACCCTGGTAAGGATCAATGCATATCAGAAGGAAGGGGATCTGTCTAATCTCCCAGGAGCCCTGTAATATAACTTCTGGTTATGGCACACCCACCTCCCTCATCCAGCTAGGCAGAACTTCCAATGGAACCATCTCCAAGCCCACCCACTGTCAAGTGTGATAGTGATCCTCCTAAAGTGTATATCCAGCCAATACGTTTTCTGATTTTTAGATAAAGTAGGAAGGGGTTAGAGCCCTGTTCTCCTCACTTCTTGTCTTGCAGACATTTTCCAACAGATGGGAAAAAAGATTTTAGAAGAACAAGGGAAGGCTAGAAGCTCTGCATTTCTGTCTGTATCCTTGTTGTTTTTCACTGTACTTATATTTCCTTTTAAAAACTGCTTTTGAACCACGTGACCAGCAAAATAATGTCTTACACATTCAGATTTTATTTGTTTTTCAATTTCACTAACTCAGTCCTGGCCTGTGGAACTTGCGCAGCGTATAGGTCGTGTATCCCTGCCCACTGCTTCCCTTTCAAGGGCATGGTCCCTTCCCCAGGATCCATTGTGGGTTAAGGGTCCCAGGGATGCAGGTTTTCAATTTATTCATTTATTTTTCTAGGGAGAGCAGAAGAAACCAACTGTTGCAAAGGCAGCCATACAGGGGATCAGTTCTAATAATTACCCCCCACACACGCGCTGTGCTGATCACCCTCCCTGCCCCACATCTGATTCGCTCAGCTACCTAGGCCCCCCCAGCTGGCCTGGCCCTGTACAGGAGGACTGGTGGTACCCCCTTATCCACGGCCCTGATTCTGCCTGTCCAGTGCAGTGCAGCAGTAGCTGTTAGTGCACCACTCCCTTAAAAATGCACCACAGCGGACATATTGCTTTGTTACTTTAGAAAAGGTCATGTGCTTTTTCCATCCATTGTGTCGCATTGTGCTTGCGTGTGCGCTCATGCATCGCTTATGTGTAAATGGACCCTTATTCTAAATGATCTAAACTCCCAATATTGAACATATACAGTACGTGAAGTCCAATGATTAGGGGAAATAAAAGGTTCCTCTGTACGGGGTTTCTCTGAAGGCTTTGTTTGACGTTGAAGGCAACAGGTGGCTGGACAACTTTCACATAAATTGTCCATGTTCTCCAAGGCTTTCTAGTAATGACACTGAGCTCCGCATAGAGTACCAGTGAATGTGCAAACTGAACCACTTGCTTCCTTGAAGTCGCCGTCCTGCAGAAATACCATCTGATATTGCGGACACATGACCCACCAAGGACCACGTAAACACCGGGCCCCTCATAAACAATCTGTCATCTTACAATGTTTCCTCACCCGTTTCAAACCGATCATTCAAGCCAACATTTTTTTTATTGGTTTCAAGAAAGTGGTGTACAAAACATAGCCTCTGGGGCACTGCCCATGCTGCCATCTTTGGTGTGCTGTTATTTCCTACAAAATTTTTACCTGGTATTTCCTACAAACAACAGGAAGTGAGGAGAAGTCTCCCTCTAACAGGGAGTCAAAACCTTATCTAATCCTTCTCTACTCTATCCAAACCTAGAAAAATGTTGTTGGGAGGCTGCACTTATGCTGTCATTTGAAATTTTACATCTCAACTACCGAAAGGGCCAAGATAAACCAATGGGTTTTCAATACTTTTAAAGCAAAGCTTGATCCAAAAATAACACAATAAAATGAATAGCTCATTAAAAGCTAAAATAACAAAATCAGATTTTGCTCCAATGTTCACCTTCAATTCAGTGATTTCTTCACAGGCCTTTTTTTTAGCCACTAGATGTCCTCTGTCTGATTGTCAGTATCATTCAACTTATTTATGCTGAGCCCAGGTCACCCATGACCTGCCCCCACCTGTGGCTGGACAGTCAAAGACGAAGCATCACAGGGATGCTCTGTCAATCTGCTCTCTCCTCCTATCAGCATGCTTCTTGTAAGCACATTCATTGATTGGTGGCGTGTACTGCTTATTCATCTCCCAGCCTGAGCTCTGCTGTACAGGCCAAATGCAGGTACTAATACTGCTTGTATTTTAAGAATACATTTAAAGTAAATTTTTGGTCACAGAATGCACTTTCATTTTATAACATCAGCATTGTAACAATACAAACAAAAGTCATTTTTTTGTCAATCCAATATAAGCTTACTTGAAAAATCTGCTTTCATTTTGTGAGTTCTGCCTGTCTTCAGGCTGTCTGCCCCCGCAACGTTCTGGATTCCCTGCATGCTTTGCAGCTTTTCCCTGCTGTCTACTTTCCATTTCTAAGGACTACATATCCCATGGTGCCTTGCTGCCTTCAAGCTGTGATCCCTGTACTGACCCCGCCTCCTGACACTCCTCCTCTCAGCACCTCTGTAGTTCAGAAGGCAGACTCTGTGAAATGTGTGACACAGCAGTGCCTATTCATAGGGCATAGAAGGGGCGGACTGACCATTTGGAAACTTGGGCACTGCCCGAGGGCCGGGGTCAGTAGGGGGCCCCATGAGATGCCCCTGGTACCTTTTCATAGGCTTTTTTGAGTTTGGGTAAGGACACAGGGGCCCCATGAGCTGTCACTCTGCCCCTGGGGCATAGTGAGTTTGTATCATAGAATTCAAGGAAGTAAATGTGTAGGGATCATCACTAAGAAAGTTTACAAACTTCAAGATTGTTGGGATTAACCGCTTAAGAACTGCCTTATAGTAGATATACTGCTAGAGGGCGGCACCCGTGCGTAAAATCACTTATATATACATGATTTTGCATTTCCAGGTAGGGGAACGCGCATGAGCTACCCACGCCGCCATTCGTGGCCATGGATCTCAATCACTGGGTCCGGTAAATACCCGTCGGCCCAGTGATTACCGAGCATCTCCGACGGGGAGGAAGATTGTTTACAAACAATCTTCCTCCCAGTCAGCTTGAGCACACTGCACAGCACAGCCATCCCGATCAGTGTGCTTACAGTGAAGAACACACACCCCCCCCCCTAGTAAAACACTCCCAGCGCACAGTTAACCCTTTGATCGCCCCTCACATTAACCCCTTCCTGCCCAGTGCCATTAGTACAGTGTCAGTGCTTTTTTTTTTAGCACTGATCACTGTATTGGTGTCACTGGAGATGTCAGTTACACCAAGTTAGTTCCCCCAGTGTCAGAATGCCCACCGCAGTCCCGCTAAAAGTCACTGATTGCCGCCATTACTAGCGAGGGCCCTACTGACCCCGGGCCCCATGAAATGCCCCTGATACCTTTTTTTTAGGCTTTTTTGGGTGTGCTTTGAGTGTGGGCAAGGACATATGGGCCCCATGATCCCCTATTGCCTGGGGGCCCCATGAGTTGTCAGTCCGCCCCTGATCGGAAACCATGCGGTTTGGTGCAGCGCAATTTGCAAAAGTAGTGTTTGGGCTGTCAAAACATGAGCGCGTATACAAACGCAGGAATTCCAGGGTGAACTGGCCTTCAATGATGACAGAGCTGCATTATTTGTATCACCATTTTTTTCTTGGTGTCAGGAAAACTTGTCAGAAGAGACTCATGCTGATGGCAGAGAAATGAGGCAGTAGAGAAAAATGACTTAAAGGGAGATTTACTAAAACTGGAGCACTCAGAATCTGGTGCAGCTGTGCATGGCAGCCAATCAGCTTCAGCTTGTTCAGTTGGGCTGCCCAAACATTATACAAGTTTCTTATACAATTTTCCTTTAGATTTAACAAAAATCATATAATATTAGGTCCAGGAGCGGACTGACAACTAATGGTGCCCACGGGCAATAGGAAATCATGGGGCCCCTGTGTCCTCGCCCACACTCAAACCACACCCAAAAAAGACTATGAAATGTAGCAGGGGAATCTCATGGGGCCCCCTACTGACCCCGGGCCCTCAGGTAGTGCCCGAATGCCTAAATGGTCAGTCCACCCCTGATGAGGTCAAACCTAAACAACACATTCAATTGTATCCAATTAGGCAGGCCCTTGAACTACATAGTTGAAGGTAAATCTAAAGGAAATTGGACAGAAAATTGTATGGCCAGCCTTAAGCGTCAGCAATAAAACCTGGAAGCTGATTGGTTTCTATGCAGAGCTGCACCAGATTTTACACTCTCCAGTTTTACTTAAAACAAAAAAAAAAAAATCTTAGTGCTCTGGACTGACAAGTACACACTACAGAGGGATGTGCTTTGTTCATATTCCATGGCTGAGATTTACAATCACTTTAAATAAATTCCAGGTATGTGAACCAGTAACCCATTCATATTTAGCCAATCACAAGAAAGAACCATGGGCTTCTACATTTCCCCAACCTTGTATATGTATAATGCATGTGTTCCCAGTTTTTAATAGATAATAAAGAAACCCCACAGAATACAAAAAAGGAGAATTGGATGGACAAGTGTGTTCTTTTCAACATGACTAAATATGTAACAATGTAAAAATTCAGTTTCAATGCAGGAAATGAGGAATTCTACTGAGCTCCTGGTTGTTCTTAGAAAAACTTCACCTGAGTTTTCTCCGGGAAATCTCAGACAGTTGTCAGCGGCCGGTACAGAAGGTAAACCCCCTTTAAGTCCAGACTAAAAGCAACCACTTATAAAGCA